GCTACTCAGGAGGCTGAGGCACGAGAATCACTTGAATCCAGGAAGCAGAGGTTGCACTGAGCTGAGATAGCACCACTGCACTGCAGCCTGGGAGACAAAGCGAGATTCCCTCTTAAAAAAAAAATCAGTATTAGGTGTTATCACACAATTAAGTACTAACAGAAGTTAAAATCTTAAGTAGCTGTCTTTCCTTATGAAATTTCCTAGACTACATTCCATAAGCAGCAAATACAAGTTACTGTGACTATAGAACAAGTTGGCAAATTTTTAATTTGACTATCATTTTTCTAAAGTGTCTATAAAGAAAATCCATTTCTGACTGGACTGATAAATTTATAAAATATCCTGTGCTGAACCAATAACCTAATTAACAGTTGAAACCTCATGATAAGCCAAAAAATAGGGAAGTTAATAAAGAGCAAAAGCAATATTTTCTAAAAAAGTATTTTTTCTCCTACAATTCCCATGGAGAATGTAATTTTCTTACCTTTTAAATAGAAAACACTTTCATTTATAATAAAGCTGTGATTTGAAAACAAACAGCAACGAAATTTTATTACATTGTATACAACAGTATGTGATTCTCTTTCTGAGATATTATCAGAAAAATGCATTTAAACTACTACAAAAGACAGGGTAATTGTAATGACTAATTACTAATACTCGATTCAACTCCAACATATACATGGCCACAGGCAATGCACACACAGGCTCTTGAGCTGGCTGGAAAAGGAAAAAGCTCCCCAGAGGTAAAAAGGTAAGAATTTTTTAAAACTATAATTAAGAGTCAAAGCAACCCTGCAAATAATGCAATAAATGGTTCTGTCAAGAAATGCTCCCTGTCTCAGAGAATTAAATTCTGCTTTCCTACTTTAACTACTACTTAGTGGACCGAGTACTTAGAAGGACCTAAGAAGGCACAAGGAATTACTGATTGAATTTTGAGTACTCTTTCTACATGTCCTTTGCAGTAAACTGACTAATGTGCTAGATCTTTTGGACCTCTCAGATTCTTCTCGAATCTCCCAGTCATGTTTAGTCTGTCACTAAATGAACAGAGATACTATACTGACATTCATTTCCTAAAAGAAGTGGCAAGAAAATTAAGCTAAGGTTGGTAAAGGGATTGGCAGGCATTATATAAAAGGTACTATATAAATACAGAGTATTACTTCCTCTAACGGTTACTTGGTAAAAGTCCTTTTAACTCTGATAGTTTCTGACTATCTTAAGACTATGACCTCATTCTAAAATGGTTTTCTTAGAAAGAAAATGGTAGGGCAATTCATATGCTCTGAGCTTAAAAAGCTAAGTTGATCATATCCTTCCTACTTGTTTATGTAGTTCAATAGAGACTGATTACTTACTTAAAGACCACACAAGTTCTCAGAGAAAGAAATCACAATCCTTTTAGCACAGAGAAATTGAACTGAAAGTCATTTTCTCTTTTGTATAGCTAGCATTTTTAAATGAAAAAGAGCCTCAAAGAAATCTGCAACCTTTAGCTGAAGGCTTTCAAATTGAGGCATATTTAGAAGTGGAAGTTCATGCTTTTAAGCACTTTATGACTGTTAGGTAAGTCAGGAACCCTGAATTCAGTACTTTGAGATCTCTGAATAAAATGTAACTATTAAGGTTTCTACTTTTTATAAGATGCATTTCACACCATTCAGGTCTCTGAGAAAGTAGTCATCTTTAAGCAAGACTTTTTAAAGGTAGCTTTAGTAAGCTCAGTTCAATCATTAGTAAGATTTTCATTTGAACAGTGACACACTCACGTAATGAATCAAACTGCATTCTCTGTAGTTCTAAGATGGGGTTTTTCAATGAAACAAATTCTTTTTATTTCAGAAATCACAAGTGCCTCTTTCAAAGTGTGCAGTTTCTCTTTCTAGATTGTGAATGTGATTCACCACACAGAACAGTCATTAAAAATGAAAGGAGGAAAGAAGATCAACAAGAACTATCAATCCATTTCTATAATTCCCTAATTATTGATATTATCATGAAATATTCTAAAAGAAGGTCCAAATATATATGCATTTTAAAATATACTATTTATACTCTAAATCCAGAAACATAAGCTAAAATTGTCCATTAACTAGAAAAGAAATAAAAATTTAATATGATAGAAAAAAATACTAAATACAACTTTTCAATTAAAATATTTAAATATAAAATAGACTATGGCATGTTTGAAGATTATTTAGAAATAATAAATTCCACTTTCTAGAAAGTAAAGACAGAAATGTCTTCATTTTTAACAGACAAGATTTCATTTTATGATCATTTAAATAATTAATATGTGCTCTTTGGAAAATATACTTGAGATTTAAATTTCTTGGTAAAGAAAGAGTACAGAGGTAAACGTTTTGTAAAAAGAAGATAGAGGAAAAACAGATTTTTTACAAGGGAGTTCAGAGACATCTAGTGGTTGGTAATATTATACTGGATTTTTTCTTAGAAAATAAAATAAGGTTATGTAGTTCCACAGTCATGTTCATATTATAAATAGTATAAGATTTTCCTTGCACTTTGAATGCATTTCATCCTACTGGTTTAATGATTCCAGAAACTGAAAACAGTATTACGTTCTCAACCTTTTAAAAAATTAGCAAAATATCACTGAAATAAAAATCCAAAATCCAATAACTGTTCTATCACAGAAAAGGGTGTGTATATTCTAAAACATGATTAACTGACAAATGCAGGTAGGCATTTGTCTTTTACAAGCTGTTAGTGGTACTCTAAATTAAATCATTACATGTATAAAACCCCAATGCCTAGAAGATTTATCCTGCATGGCTTTTAAAAGGAGTTCTCTTCTAAACATAGTCATAGATTCACTGTGCTTAAAGGGGACCTTAAAAGGCCATGTAACTCACTGCCAACATCTTCAGACAGTCAAAATATAATTCCACTTTCAAAGGCCAGTGAAAAGCTATTCTACATTGTTCTTCAATAATTTATTTCAATGACCCAAAGAACCCTATCAAACAATTCTTTCCTATATCTAACCTCAGTCCTTCATGCTACAGATTACCTCATTTTTATTCTTAATTCTTCTACTGTATCTTGCTAACATATATATCTTTTCATATTTTTTTCAAGTACAGCTTCTATATTTATCCCTATTAAATGTCGTGATGGCCAGGCGCGGTGGCTCATGTCTGCAATTCTGGCACTCTGGGAGGCCAAGGCAGTTGGATCACCCGAGGTCAGGAGTTCGAGACCAGCCTGGCCAACATGGTGAAACCCCATCTCTACTAAAAAATACAAAAATTAGCTGGGTGTGGTGGCAGACATCTGTAATCCCAGCTACTTGGGAGGCTAAGACAGGGGAATTGCTTGAACCTGGGAGGTGGAGGTTGCAGTGAGTCGAGATTGCACCACTGAACTCAAGCCTGAGTGGCAAGAGTGAAACTCTGTCTCTAAATAAATGAATAAATACTGTGTTGTTAGATTCAACTGATTCATCATTCCCACTGCTCTAGTTCCTTTGGATCATGGCTCGGTCTAAAATATTTGCTAGCTCTCCAAGCATATGCCATCCATAAATTTGATGAGCACAGTCCACACACTCTAAATTTGTGTTAAAGTTTTAACAAATATGTGATCCTCTAAAGCATCTCCCAAAATTAATGTCTTCACTATAGTAACCCAGATTTTTCCTTTCTCTTTATTCAACTTGAACTGAAAATATAAAGTGACTCAAGCAAAATACTAAGCATTGTTTCACACTCAGTCAACTTTTCGACAAAAAGATATTTATGATAAGTAGCAGCTACAAAAAATGTATCCTATTTTATGACTAGTCACAAAAACATTGTTTGGATTGTTAGTTTCTGGTTGCTTTTAATTTTTAGGCTGTATAAATCTACATTTGTACTAATTACCTTGGCTGACAAAAGATTAACAATGCCAACATTAAAAATGTGTTGCATGTATTTAAATATCATTGTGAACACCACTGCTAAATAGGACTAGAACAGAATAGGAACACAATTCACATTAGAAAGTAATGGAGGAAAACACATAAGCTAAAATAAAATCTCTTCTACTTAAATATTGTTTCCTAATAAAAAATTCAACTTAGGCAACAAGTCCTTTTCATTAAAAGTCAATCTTTAAGTCATTCACATAGACCCAAGTATAACCTGCTTAATTACAAAGGGGGAAACCTACCTCTAAAGTGGAGTGTTCTGAAGATCACCATATTAACAAATGAGCAAACTTAGCATCACCAATAGCGTGACAACCTGACATAATGTACCTTCTGACGGGATGCAATAAAAAATACATAACATCACTTTCATAGCATGCTTGCCAAATATGTTGAATCTAAATCTTACAATGAGTAATGAGGTAAATCCACAATGTGGGACATTCTACGAGACAACTAGCCTGGACACCTTTAAAAAGTCACGATCACGAAAAATAAAAAATTATGGATTAAAAGAGATTAAAGAGACCTAACAACCAAATGCATTGTGTGAAACTTGTGGGATCATCAATGTTAAAAAAACAGCTACAAAGGGCATTTGGGCACAACTGGAAAAGCTTATACATGGACTGTACACTAAACGACATCACTGAATCAATATTTTCAGGTGGGATTGTGGTTATGTAAGAAAATGTCATTATTCTTAGGAGATACATGCTTAAGTATTTAGAGGTGAAGACTCACATTGTAATTCATTTTCAAATGGTTCAGAAATATAGTTCAGTATACTTATGAATATAAAATACAGATATGCATTTCAGAATGTAGAATATAGACGTCCCCATATTTTTAATACAAAATATAGATTCTACGTGTATATATAGGCTCTAAATAACACACACACACACACACACACACACACACACACACAGAGAAAGTGAGAGAGAGCTGCCAATGTGCCAAAATGTCCCTTGGAGAATCTAGGCGAAGGATATATGGTGTTTTAAATTTTTCAAAATAAAAAGTTGGAGAAAATCAGAAAGAAAGGAATACATACCATGGCAGTCCTAGACTTGATAAACCAGTCAAATCTAAACTGTGGAGCATTTCGTACACACTGTCTTAATTCTTCATATACATTTTCTCTATCAAAGCCCATTTTGTGTAACATACAAATCAAGAATCTATCTTCTTCCTCAGTGTAGTTCTTTCCTTTGCTCGTTCCATATTGAATGCGCAACTGATGAAATGGAGCCTTGTATCTTGCAATCTGTGTATTTAAACAAAATAGTGCTTTTAGTTGTGTGGGGGGAAAAACTCCACAAGAGCCGAGGCAAGGGTCTAAGGCCTCAGTCTGTTCTCATATAAATATTATATTAAAAAACAAAACATAGCTACATAGTTATTCCCATATATAATCATAATCACAGTTATTCACATGTAATCATAAATATATACGTATATACAATCATAATCTTTAATTTTACTAATAAATCTCAAGTCATAAAGTATAAAACTAAAGTGGCATTAAAAAAAAACCCTAAAGCAAAATGCTCTAAGCCCTCTGTCACGCCCGCATAAGGGCTGCTAAAAGGCTCCTCGGCTGTGCAACAGCACTAGCACTATAAAAGCACCCGCAGATTAGCCAGCTGGGGAAGAAAATGTCCAAAACAGCCAAAACATCTCCTTCCTCAGGGGAGTTAAAAAAAAAACACAAACTCTGCTCTTCTAAGCTCTTGTAGTAGGCTTGGCGGCTGTCAAAAAGGCCCCCAAACATCCGGGGGCTTAACTGTTTCTATGTAATGCTGTGCTGCAGCACTCACATTCCATATCTACTTTCACGTTCCGCTTCTGCACCTGGTTCCTTTCTTCTAAAATAAAAATGAGTAATAGTAACATAAATTTTAATGTCCTTAATATTCTTAACAAATATAAAAAATGTGCTAACGCGTTACATTTTCTCCTTGCCTCAGCTTCTTAAACACCCTAAGCCCCTGTCTCCAAAACACATGATTTACCTGACCTTATCACTAACCACCATTACCTCACCCTACCTACCCTGCCCTCCACTTTGTACTCAATAAAAGTCAAAGTGTCCAGGCACTTGGGGCCACCACCAAATTCCACGCTCCGATTGGCAGTGGACCCCTGGGCCCAAACTCTTTTTTCTCTATCTCTGTGTCTTATGTCTTTATTTTCACAGTTTCCTGTCTCCACACCTATAAAAAAACTCACAGAACCCTATAGGGCTAAACCCTATATAGTTGCATGTGCAGTAAGATGTCAAAGCTGACCACGATTACACAATTAAAATAATCTAATTATAATTTGACATAAAATACAGTACTTTGGCATCCAGGGCTTTCTTGATACTGATTCTTCGTTGAATTCTTGCTTCTCCACGTTCAATTTGAGCCATAATTTTCTCAATGTCCTGTAATTCATTGCAACGTTCCCAAAATACAGCTGGAAAAGAGTTATTTCTTTAAAATCCTATCATTTAAGCAATTAAATCGAAGGAATTGTAAAATAAGGAATTAACAGGAAAGAATACAGTGAGCTTGTACTTCTTTGTGTGTGTGTGTGTGAGATGGAGTCTTGCTCTGTTGCCAGGCTGGAGTGCAGTGGCACAATCTGTGCTCACTGTAACCTCTGCCTCCCGGGTTCAAGCGATTCTGCTGCCTCAGCCTCCTGAGTAGCTGGGACTACAGGCAAGTGCCACCACACTCAGCTAATTTGTGTATTTTTAGTAGAGACGGATTTCACCATGTTGGCCTGGATGATCTTGATCTCTTGACCTCGTGATCCGTCCACCTCGGCCTCCCAAAGTGCTGGGATTACAGGCGTGAGCTACCACGCCCGGCCACTTGTACTTCTTAAAGTTAAGATTCAGATTCATCTTGTATATATAATATGTTCAATTATTAAACTCTACTAACTTTTCACTTAAAAATTAGACCTCAACAAGGCTTTAGGTTAGCAATTTCCCTTTCATGAAATAGTATGGAATCTTACGATCCATCCCAAATGACTAGGACTTCAAAAGAAGATACAGATACTGATTTAAGCTAGGCTTTTTACTCAAACGTGATAGAAAAAGGGCCAAACACATAAAATGATACAGGAGAGAGCAATATATAAACAGTGAATATAGCTTCCTAGCAGGCAGAAACAAAACAAACTATTATGGGCCGGGTGCGGTGACTCACACCTGTAATCCCGAACTTCAGGAGGCCAAGGTGGGCAGATCGCCTGAGGCTGACAGTTTGAAACCAGCTTGGCCAACATGGTGAAACCTCATCTCTACTGAAAATACAAATGTTAGCTGGGCATGGTGGCGTGCTCCTTTAATTCCAGCTACTCAGAAAGCTGAGGCGGGAGAATCACTTGAACCCAGGAAGTGGAGGTTCAAGTGACATGGCCCCCAACCTGACAGGCAGTAATTAAATAGTTCCAAGGTAGTCATGCCACCTAGCCTGGTGTCAAATTTGACAGAAAGTCTGACAGGATAATGTTTTTGAATCACATTTTTTCACACACACTGATGTTATCTTCCTGTCTATCTTCTGAAGAAAATTCTTCTTAAAAATCTCTCTGCACGTACCCTTTTACATTCTTTTCATTCTACTCTTGATGCTAAAATTTCTCTCTCGAATCTATTTTTTTCCCCTAAGCCTCCAAATGCTGAGATCTCGACATTGAGCCGAGATCGTGCCGCTGCACTCCAGCCTGGACAACAGAGTGAGACTCCATCTCAAAAACAAACAAACAAAGAAACAAAAAAACACAAGCTACTATGAACAGAGTTGTTCAAATTTTTTCTATGTAGCAGCCATTTTTACTGAAAGTGTTATGTGCTTTTGGAATCACTCACTAATCTTCTTACAGTATTTCCAATGAACAATAGTGTGTTTTTAAACTTACTTGGAATAGCCTTTTCTCAAAAACAAAAACAAAAAAAACTTCATTGGGATGTTAATTGCATATATACTGAAAAATATTAAAGTTACCAAGTCACCCAACCAAATTTTATAGATGAGCCAAATAATCTATTAATATGTCACATCTTATGACTTCAATGAAAGGCTTTTTAATGACATACTCCACATCCTCAAGCTTTTCATTTTTAGAGCCTATCAAGAAAGATATGTGAGCGCTCTGATTTTTATAAGCACCTGTGTTCATTTATTCATTCACTCACTTATTCATTCAACAAATATTTAAACACCTGCTATGTAAAAGATACTATATATTAATGGATGGGCAATTGCACACATTTCTTATCTTACTGTAACCAACTACAACAAACTCGTTGCAATCTCCCCACCCTCTGACGTGGCCCCCAACCTGGCAGGTAGGAATTAAACAGTCCTAAGCTAGTCATGCCACCTAGCCTGGTGTCAAATTTGATGGAAAGTCTGACAGGATAATCTTTTTGAGTCACATTTTTTCTTGCAACTTCACACACACTGATGTTATCTCCCTGCCTATCTTCTGAAGAAAATTCTTCTTAGAAATCTCTCTGCCCGTACCCTTTTACATTCTTTTCATTCTACTCTTGATGCTAGAATTTCTCTCTTCAATCTGTTTTTCCCTAAGCCTCCAAATGCCCTAAATTTATGTGCTAAATGTTTTGAGTAGGACTAATGTCATGCTGGTATCAAGGAAAAGAAAGTTCATAAACTTAATGTTACATTCCATGTAATAAAAACTCAATACCACTGACCTCTAACGTCCCCCAGAAGACCATTTTAGATTTCCAGAAGAAAAATATCTCCCTAATTAAATCTGGATTTCTTCAAGCACTAGCACTCTAGATAAATTTAAAGCTGCTCCTAGGCAGTAGGAATCTTTAGTATATTTATTGGTACTGTAATGTTTCTTTCCCAGTATTGCAAAAGCAGGATTTCAGTGGTTAGGTTAAACAGATTTGGGGCAGGGGCTATCATAGAAACTTAAACCTATGTAACATTGCCTCAATGGCAAAAAAATGCTCTAGATTCTAAACATCTTGGTTCAAATTATAAATTTAAGAGCTGAACCTATTTGGAAATTAGACAATCCTATGTACTACATATAGAAAACTTGCTAGAAATATTTACCTATTTTTAATAAGATTTCTGGATAAACACATGGAGTTTCCGGAGGGTGGTGCACTCAGGGAGGGCACCGAAGCTCTGCACCCCCTTGGCCCATACTTTGCTCTACACACTTCTTCATCTGTATCTTTTGTAATATCCTTTATAATAAACCAGTAAATGTAAAAAAAAAAATTGGGCTGGGCGCAGTGGTGCACGTCTGCAATCCCAGGACTTTCGGAGGCCGAGGCAGGTGGACCACAAGGTCAAGAGTTCAAGACCAGCCTGGCCGACATGGTGAAACCCCGTCTCTAATAACAATACAAAATTAGCTGGGCATGGTGGTGGGTGCCTGTATTCCCAGCTACTCGGGAGGCTGAGGTAAGAGAATCGCTTGAACCCAGGAGGCAGAAGGTGCAGTTAGCCGAGATCGTGCCACCGCACTCCAGCCTGGATGACAGAGCAAGACACTGTCTTGGAAAAAAATAAAAATATAAATAATAAATAATAAAACAAATCCGTATCCTTCAGCAGCTAAACTGATTCTAGTCGAGCTCAACAACACAGTTGAGTAAGAGAGGGAGAGGATTTGAGTACCAGTAAACAGATTGATTAAAGCAATCTTTTCAGATCTGTGCCCACTAGCCTCAAGTTAATGGGACCCACAGGAACCGTCTGGAATAGGTTGGAACTCTAAGGGTGTTTAAGCATCTAAATGGGCCTGACAGGAACTCTCTACTTCAAGGGCAACCTAGAAAGAGAGGTATGAATTCAATCCACTGAATATGAATCTCCGAATTGTACCAGAGGAGAACCAAATTCCAGAGGTGGGAAGGTGGGAAATTAGTTTCATCACTGTTCATCCAATAGCCACCCTTGCTTTATCAGAGCTTTAATTGATAGAGTCAATAGCAGTCAGTTTGTTAGGATAAATCTTAAAATCTTTTCATAGAAATTCAATTATAGTTTATACTCTCACCTATGTCTTATTCATAAAAGTTTAAAGCATCCCTGAACAAAAGTACAATTAATTGATGCTTAATAAATGAATAATGTTAAAATACAACATCATGTTTCAAATTATATACAAACCTGAATACTCCATGACCTCCTCAGGAGATTTGCCCTCTACCTCTCGAGCTATGTTATCAATGTCATCTCTTCCATATTTCTCATTAGCTTTAATAAACTGGTTAAAATCTCGTTTAGTCCAGTTTGTGAAACCCTGTGAACAAAAAGTTAAGCATTATCAATAGAGGTTAAATTAATAAATCCATGTAATGTCCTATTTACTTCTGTACAATGATACATTAAAAAACAGTTTAAAATGCTTAAGATGTTTCTCCTTATAAAATTGCACGTATTTTATGTTGGATTCAAAAGTTGAGTGAGAGTTGTTAAAGAAATAACTGCTTTTCTATTACAAAAAGAATGTAATCTTCTCTAAGTACTTAAAGTTGATTTATAGTTCTAAGAGCTATAGTTTTTAATTTCATATTTTATAGATGCCTACTACATTAAAATACAAATGCATGAAAATAAAAATGCTAATATCAATGCTGAAGTCTTGATATTCTAGTACTTCAATGATTTTTTTCACAGATCTGTTCCCATGTAAATTAAGAGAGGAATGTGGATGCATTAAATCAAAAGAACACAGAGGAGTAACCCAAAGAGAATGTAAAAAAGAAAAAACACTGTAGCTCTTTACATCATTCTGAACTAGTGTGAGTAAATAATTTCTGTTCTAAACTATGTTCATAAATAGAACTTCTACGAGCAGAACCTTATTAGACCCACTCAGTTTTTTTACTAAAACATAAAACACTTTAGCCAGTGTTCTAAATTCCCTTGGCATTATTAGCACGTCTGTGAAATCACAAGGCCAAGAATTTGTTTTCCACTCCTCAAACCTCAAGTCACATAAATGTGATACTCTAGACATTGCAAAACTCTATCCGTGGCTTTTCGTTGATAAAGATTTCAGATGACCCCACATTTTGTTCCTATGTACTGCCATGGCTTTTGAAAAAGATTGTTTAAGGCAGCAGAGGAGGACGAAAATGAATTCATCTACTAGGAGGGGCAAGAAATTTCTAATTACAATCTAAAAGATTATCTCAGTGAGACTGTATATTCTTTTTATACCATCCATTCACAATATACTCCAAGCCACGTAGCATTCTAAAGCCATAACTTGACTTTTGCATTCAGGAAATACATACAGAACGTGAATATTTAAATGTTTTCTTTTATTCTGTTGTAAGTCCCAATATTCAGCCATCGGCAATTACAATTTCAAACTAAACTTTATTACTTCCAGGCATGTGGCTCAAAAGTTATGAATGTAATTTGTGAAAATTCATACAGGTTATAACAATGAAAAGACCTATATAAATAATATATAAATATAAAAACTATCTTCGATAATTAATGTGGAGAATTACCTACTACTATGCATTGCACATTGTTCAAAATTTATTGAATAAATAAATCTTCCTGGCAACCTTCTATATTAATGTCTTACAGCACACATTTTTGTTTATTATTTTGCAAGTCTTCTGTGCTGAAATTCTTCTATCTTCTATAGTTTATTTTAGAAGTAGAACAATTGTAAACTCATCATAGCAATAATGACTTGAAAGCATTAATATTTTGTTCAAATGGAAACCTTCCTAATTTAATAACTGTTATCCAACGGTCACCTTAAAAGCTTCAGAAATCTTTCATCATTGTATGAAAGTTCTAAGAAAGGACAAAAAGAATTTTGAAATTTATGAAATAATTCCATTAATAAAAATTAGTGGAATATAACTTCAGGAGACAATTCACATCTATAAACAAAAGAAATTTAAATTTTCAAGAATATGTTTTAACAGGCTTGGTGCAGTGGCTCACACCTCTAACATCAACACTTTGGGAGAACAAGGCGGGCAGATCACTTGAGGTCAGAAGTTTGAGATGAGCCTGGCCAACATGGTGAAACCCCATCTTTACTAAAAACACAAAAATTAGTGAGGCATGGTGGCAGGTGCCTGTAATCTCAGCTACTCAGGAGGCACAGGCAGGAGAATCACCTAAACCTGGGAGGTGGAGGAGGCAATGAGTTTGAGATCGCCCCACTGCATTCCAGCCTGGGCGACAGAGGGAGACTGTCTCAAAAAACAAAAAAGAGTATGTTAATAACTACTATCGGAATTCAAATGTGGATTCACTGACCTTATTATAAATTGGCAAAATGTATTTCATATTGCTAATACTTGACACTTACATTTTACATATACATACTATCCAGTATTTCTAAATGGCATATTCTATAAGATCAATTTTTAAAAATAGGGATATTGGTCTAAACATGTTTACAAAATAGCCCTGAGTTCTGTTGGTGTGTCACATTAGGAAACTAGGCCATACAATAAAAATTAAGTGTGATCTATATTTTCTTTTTTCTATTGATTGAAAGTATTTCAACCATTGAAAATAGTTTACTTGTGTGAGAAGTTTTTCCTTTTCTTCAGTCTCTTCTGGTGTAAGAGGTTCAGCTCCATCAATCTTTTTTTGCTCTTCTCTTTGAGCCAGAGCTGGATTTGGGATATCAGGATTTCTTGGGACCTATAAAATCAGGAGACAAACTAAGAGTAAACTGACGATAAAAATTAATTTCTAAAGCTGTATATACACATATTAATCTTCAGAGTTATTTCAAGAGGTAAACAATATAAAATCATAGCCAGAATGGCACATGGTCCTTTCTACATTTCTGCTACCATAATTGTATTGAAATAAAAAAATATTCTTGTGCCACATGAGATTTTATAGTTAAAAACCCACCAGTAAATGAATGCCACATTACATTTCAGATTTGATTATACTCTGGAACAAAGTCTATACTTATACTATTGTAATACACAGAACAAACAAAAAGTTTGGCAGTAAAAAAAAGGAGGGGCACATTCCCCTGGCAACATAAAGCAGGGTGGAGAAACAGTAATGCACCTAAACATTACATCCAATAGTCTGATCAGTTCAACGTGCCAAAAGAAGGAGTGCTTTTAGTGCCTGCCAAGGTATGTAAGGGGAGAGAGCATTTTTACATAAAATGGAACGTTTGGAAAATGTAACAGGATAATGAAGAAAAAGAGGAAACAGAGACTATAAGAGGGAAGGGTACAGTAGAAGACACAGACAGCTATGATAGGACCAGCAGTCAAGTGGGAAAAGGCTACAACAGCAGTGGCCAACAGAAATCATTCATGGTGTTTTGGTTACAGAACTGTAAATACAGTGACAACTGAGAAGAGAACTCGAGTTCTAAAGATGAGGACAGAAGCTCAGTTCTCCAAGAAAGCAAGCTGTCACCTGTATCTCAAAACTGTAGCCTGCAGAGCCTCAGTGTATCACAGTGAGCATATACAACCAGTGTGGTTCAGCAGTATGGGGCTGAATTATACTGGTTGTATGGATGAACAAACGAAGTCTCTTAGCCCAAAGCCTGATACCATCGCTATGTACATCCGTAGCTTTAAGGAAGCACACTGATTTACGAGGGCAAGTATATAACTAACATGTGTACTACACTGCATAGCATTCCATTAAACATGAAAATAAAAGGGCTGGCAGTACACCTTCGACTGCTTGAAATGCACACATACCATAAATGACTCATTCCCTAGGGGCATCAGGTAGTCATGGTTTTACTAGAGTGGAATTAGAATACATATTACAGTGCACTTTTATCATTGTTATAGGTATTCCATAGAGTTTGGAACTGTATCATTGTAACCTAAAAATAACTTTAAAAAACTATTAAGTCCAATAGTTCTTCAAGTATAAAACCTAACTGAGCATTAAAAAGAAATACCAAGAAAGTAGATTCACTTGTAATCATCAGTGTATCAGGCAACCAAATTGGCAGGTTTTGACTAAATGTCTGTTTTGTTTATAGAACTATGATAAGTACTAATTGGAATATACAAGAAATATAGGTTTTATCCCTTATCCCAAATATTTCAGACAAGAAGTGTTTTGGATTTCAGATTTTTTTGGGGGGACACGGGGGTTGGAATATTTGCATTCTACTTATCTGTTGAGCATTTCTAACGTGAGAATCTGAAATCCAAAAAATGCTCCAATGAGCATTTCCTTTGGGTGTTGTGTCAGAGCTCAAAAAGTTTTGGATTTTGGAACATGTCAGATTTCAGGTTTTCAGATTAGGGAAAATACCTATATTGGATATGGTCCTTGCCCACAAGGAGCTCACAAACTAGTTGTGGAATTTTGAGCTGTGCCTTAAGAACTCTAAGGATTTGGGGAGATAGAGAACAAGAAAGAATATTCTAGGCTAGAGCAGTGGTGAGCAAAAGCATGAAGGTAGAAACGTGCTAGAAGGCACATATGGGGTTTATGTTGAAAAGAGATAAGAAACAAGGCCGGGTAGAGACAGATTTACAGTGTCTTGAATACACAGAAGGTGCTGGAGACTTTTAACAAAAGAGTGAAGTGTCAAAATGTAGTGTTTTCACCTGTAAGCCTTTTGCTGGATGGACTGAAAAGTGGGGAAGCGACTAAGAGGTAAGAGAACCTAGTGAACTATCGTAATCTACAAATGAGGTATGATCATCTGGACTAGGATGGTGGCAAATGGAAATGGAAAAGAAGGTATACATTTAAAATGAAATGTGGCCCAGTCATAGCATGATTAAAAACAACTTTTCTTCAGTGGCTAAACCTAATGTTAAAATTACAGGCATACCAGCAATTCCATTCCTAAGTATTTACCCAAAGAAAGGAAAACCTATCTATACAAAGAATTACAGGATTGTTCAAAGCAGCTTTACTCAACATAGCCAAAAGCCAGAAAACAGCCCAGATGACCATCAAAAGAATGGATAAGCAAAGTGTGACCTATCCATACAATGGAATAGGTATTACACCATAAAAAGGAAAGAACAACACAGATACATGGGACAACATGGCTTACTCTCTAAAATGTTATGCTAAGTAAAAGAAGCCTTGTATATATTGTATGATTCTATTTATGTGAAATTCTAGAACAAAAATTAAAAAGATAATCTGTGGAGGGAAATATCAGAACAGTGGTTACCTCTGAGGAGTGCATATGGTCACTGGAAGAGGCACTTTCTTGGGTGACAGTAATATTCTATATCTTTATAGGAGGAGTTCGAGTTACATAAGTGTATGCATTTGTGAAAATACACTGAATGGTACACTTAAGGTTTATATATTTCACTCTATGTAAATACTTTTAAAAAATCATAAACAAAACATGACTGGCTAATGACATGCATGTTGAAGTGTTTCTGGGTAAAAGGTACTTATGTCTGCAACTTAGAAATGCATAATAATAAGATAAATATCCATATGATAGAGGGCCAGAGAAAAGGAAAAATAGGTGAAAAAACAAATATAAGATGTAAATTGTAGAATATATGTGGTGTATATATGGGTGTTCACTGTACAATTATTTCAACATTTTTGTATTTTTTTAAATTCTTCAAATATGTTTTTCTAAAAGTAGAGATATAGATTTAAAAGTTAGCAGACCCCTTAAATTGCTGGTATGTGAAATTACTTTGTTTTCAAATTTTAATTTTAATTGAAAGAAACCTCTTTGATCTTAAGATATTCTTCTATTAAATATTTCAGAATTTCCATGTCTAAGAGACCATATTTTAACAAAATGAAAATATTTTATAAACATCTAAGTTATGACAGAAAATAGATAATATACCCACATAAAATAAAACAAATAAAAATGTTTATTCCCATGCAGATATCCCCATATTAAAAATTTTCCCTTTCAATTTCTAATAAAAGCAAAATCATAATATTTTATAAAACCATTAGATTTTAGGATCCACTGGAGTTTATTCTATATCTAGCGGTCATATTAATTAACACAGCAAAACAAGAATGATTTCATGAAAGCTATGTTTGCTAATTCTAGAAATTACTCAAATACATAGCTGCTAAAATGTTTAGAATTTGAAAAGGCTCAAAAATTGTAAATTCCTATATCTCTTCCTAATATGTTTTGGCTGTGTCCCCACCCATATCTCATCTTGAACTGTAGCTCTGAACTAAACTATATTATTGGTGCAGTTAATTAGAAATCAAGGGGAGGCCGAGACGGGTGGATCACGAGGTCAAGAGATCGAGACAATCCTGGTCAACATGGTGAAACCCCGTCTCTACTAAAAATACAAAAAATTAGCTGGGCATGGTGGCGCGTGCCTGTAATCCCAGCTACTCGGGAGGCTGAGGCAGGAGAATTGCCTGAAACCCAGGAGGCAAAGGTTGCAGTGAGCCAAGATCGCGCCATTGCACTCCAGCCTGGGTAACAAGAGTGAAACTCCGTCTCAAAAAAAAAAAAGAAAGAAATTAAGGGGCAACAAGAGGCCTAAGGTAAAGACCATTCCAGAGCACAGTAACCCAGGGAACACCACGGGGTGGTTGCAGAGCAGGCACTACTGCTCTGGTCCCACAACACCTTGTCAACATGGAGACTGCATGAGGGCCTCCTAAAGAGGGCTTGTGCAAAGATCTCTGAGAAGGGAGGCGACCTCTGCTCACAAGATCTGGGAGAGTCTTTTCAGATGGGAACTGGCAAAGAGGAAAAAAGCCTTGCAGGGCAGAGATCACTGAATGCCTCAGGCTCTGCCTAGGTTCTCTAAATATGCAGTAATTATAGTTGCTCTATGTCTCCAATGCTCGGCAGATAAAAGCCCCTTGATGCACTGGATGTGGTCAGACCAGGTGGCTCCTCATCTGCTATACTTCTGAAGCAGCGGCGCCCTGATAGCAATCAGTGATAAACTCAGAGCACTGGTTTAGCATGTCTTAGAAGGATCTCGAGTGCCCTTCCCCATCTTACCTACCCCTTCACCCTCCCCTTCTTCGCCCATAAGATCAATGAGATTATGCACGTAATAAAAGTGTATGGAGCCCAGAACTTGGGGCTGACGGAGTTCCCACACTTGCGCTGGTCCCCTGGACCCATGTTGTAAATTCTACTCTTGTGTCTCTGTCTTTATTCCTTTTCTCAGTCCCTCATCACTGCCAGGACTATAGGCACCCATGTATGGGGTTGGGGCTGCTACCCAACACATGGCAACAGATCTTTCCCATGCTGTTCTCATGATAGTGAATAATTCTCACAAGATCTGATGGTGTTATAAACAGGAATTCCCCTACAAAAGTTCTCTCTTCCCTGCTGTCATGTAGGATGCGACTTGCTCCTCCTTGCCTTCTGCCATGATTGTGAGGCCCCCCAAGTCCATGTGGAAATGTGAGTCAATTAAACCTCTTTTCTTTATAAATTACCCAGTCTTGGGTATGTCCTTATCAGCAGTGTGAAAACAAACTAATATACCTCCTATTAAAAAACTTATCCTTAATAGTCATCATTTTAATAAGACATACAATTTTTTACCTCATGAGGTTCGTATCAGCATTAAGCTTCCTGGAATCACTTCAAAGTGCTACATAAGAATTAAGCAGACAAATTACAGACCAATAGTACTGAACAGATATCTAGGAGGTATTTAAAGTCCTCATACTCTATGTCTCATTATCATCTCCAGCAACACAATATATAAAAAGTTATCTTTCTAAAGGAAAAATTTCAATTATTATTTGGATTTCTAGTCAGACGCTAAGGAATTTGTGATTAAGAACTGTATTCCATGAAGCAGTGAAAAACTTTTTTTGGGCCTTGTTTCTTAGGAGTTTAGCAAGCATTGAGTAGAAAATACGGAATACTGAATTAAATGTGACAGCACACAAATAAAAGCAGTAACCTGAAATCAGCTCACCATATTTTAGTTATACCACTGCAAACCTAGGTGGCCCACATGACATGACCAAAACTCACAAAGATAATGGAACTTCCTCCATGTGTCGAATGTGTATATTAGTCCCTAAAGAATTTTTTATTGGGGACAAACGTCAGAATGTTCTACAGCTTTCTTTAGCTTTGAATGTGGCAAAACTCTTGCATTCCAGGTGTTAGACTCAATGGAATGTCCAGATATTCTGGATTTTTTATGCTGCAATTGAAATTTCAATTAAGTCGTCCTCTTCCAATATAAAGGTTTTAGTGACCAAGTGACTGCATGTATTAAATAACAACTCCTTTAAGTCAAAAGAGCAATGAAGCCTTTGAATATGCTTAACTTGCAACAAGGTCAAAGTTTAGACAGCAGCAGGATTGAGCAAATCATGTACTGCTATCCACCAAGTGGTTACGGCAGAACAAATACTTCTCTCACCTTCAAATAAAACAAAACTCTTTATCTCCAGATCTTATTATCAGTAATATTGCTGTCACCTTGTGCTGAATATGGGAGTGGGAAGGAGGGGAACAAAATAGAAAATGAAAATGAAAATAAGCAGGAAGTACAGGGAACCACTCTTTACCAACTGCTTCAAAACTTGTGAGCCCTTCACTAGCCCCACTCCAAATCACAACAGAATAAGCCTTTGAGGACTCAACATAGATAAAATGTAACCATGAACCACAGTGTCCCCAGCTATGGGCATCACCTATCTCCCCTTGGCTAACAATCCTTTAAGCAGAAAAGGGGGAAAGCGTCCCTTTTTGAGAATCTGTGTATACAGAATACCAGGTAACTTCACTAAAGCAGTTCTGTTTTGTTAATCTGAGGATAAACTAGTGTTCTACTCACTTTGTGGCCCTGATGAGTTTTCTGAAGGTATGAGGGGAAAATAAAGCAATGCTAGCCATGCCTTGAGAAGATATGTCTAATGGTTACACAACACATGATCCTTGAAAGGCCTTTTAAGATGATTAAAATGCCATGCTGATCTGTCTATTCTCTGAACTCAAACAAAAGAACATCCAATTAAAGAACCCACCTTAGCTCAGGTCCATAGTTACTAGCAAAGAATGGAAGAGACAAGGTCCAGAAAGAACCAATAACCAATATTTGTCTGGTAAATCCTCAACTAAGTATGCATAGGGAGGATCAAGGCAAGTCTTAAGACAATACAGAGGCAATCTAGGATGGGGCTTAAGAGAGCACTCCTTAAGGCTAGGAGTAGTGTAGTAGGGGACTGGTTCTTCCACTACCACCACCGCAGTCCAGGTCACCACCATCTTCTCTCATTTTGATACTTCAACAGCCTCCTGGCTGGTTTCCCTGGATAAACTTGCCATTCTCTGCATCATAGCCAGAGTGATCTTTTAAAAATGTAAATCTGATCATATTTTACCATTTATAAGTTGTATGACCTTGAGCAAATGACTCAGGGCAAATGACTCAACCACTCTATGCCTCAGTTTCCTCATCTTTAAAATAAGGATGTAGCTCCAGAGCTGTTAGGAGGATAATGAGCTAACATTTATAAATAACCTGGAACAATAAATAACACAAGTAAGGACTAAGTGTCTGCTATTAGTATTATTTTACCACCTACCTACCCACCCACTTCCATGCCTTAAAACATCTCAGTGGGTTTCCTCTACTCTAAAGCTAAAGTTCAACCTCATTAATATGACCTACAAAGCCCTCCATATAATTTGACTCTACCCACTCACCAGCCTCATCTCAAGTCACCCTTCTCCTCACCAGTCCCTAACAACACTGGCCTTCTCACAGCTCCCAAAAGGGGCCATGCTCCTTCCCACCTCAAGACCTTTGGATATGAAGTGCCACCTGCCTCAGCTTTTCCCTCCTACACTTTAGACTTAGCTCATTCACATCTCTGGAAACTCAGCTTAAATGACACATCCTTAGGGAACACTTTCCTGATCTCCCAGTCCACATGAGACATCCATGTTATACTCCCTCATTAGCATCCCTGGTAAGCACAGAACCACACAAATACCACCACCATTACACTGTAGTAGCTAGTGTCTATCTCCTCTATTAGAACATTAGTTCTAATAGGTGAAAGATTTTGTCTTATTCACTGCTTTATCCCAAGTTCTTGGCCCAGTACCTGGCACAGAGGAGTGCTCAATAAATAGGTATTAAACTTAAAAAAAAAAAAAAGTTCTCCTTTTACTCTTTTTCCCTCTCCTCTTGCTTCTTTAGGGGAAGTGAGGAAAAGCAAACAATAAGGTGCAATAGCACCAATTCCATGCCATCTCCCCTCTCCCTGTTCATCCCTTTCCTCTATTCTTACACCTCTCCCCCTCCTCCTTCCTTTCTACCACCCTTCACAGCTGTCCCTTCATTCCTCCATCTTCTGAGGTTTCCTCTCTTCTCCAACTCCTTCCAGCTGGCCACCATCCAAAACGTCACTGTAAGACTTCACCCCTAACCACAAACTGCCTGTAATGAAAGGCACTGTTTATATTGAAACCAGACCCGTGGTCAGAATGTGGTGGGCACTGTAAATTATCATGGGGAATAAAATTTCAGTATCTCCAAAGAAGGAGCATAAAGTTATATCAGACATGATTTTTTTTATTGTTGCCGCTTGACTACCACTTGGCCCACCTCCCAAATGTCATGGCACACCATTGTAAACACAGTCCTTATTTAGGACTGCAGAAAGAAGCAGGGTTACATCACATGCAGAAAGAGCCCAGAATGTCTGAGTGAGATGAACAGAACATCTGAATACCAAGAAGTTGCTTGTGAGACCAGGACCCATGGCAACACTGTGAGCACCATGATCTTGACCAAGGTCATTTAACCTCTCTGAACTTCAGTTTCCTCACCTATTAAATGGAGATGATAATAACACCTACTTCATGAGGCTGTTAGGAATCAAATGAACTATGTGCTAAAGCAGTTTGTAAATTATAAAATGTTCTATGCAAATATTTGATTTATTACTGAGGTCTAACATTTCAATTAATTCTTTCAAGTCTCAGTAATAACAGTTAAAGTAATAGAAAATAATATTCTAAACCTAAAATTACTATAAACCTTAATGAGATATGTATTTACCTTATAATATAACTACTTCATTATTAATTTAAATACTTAATACTTATTGTTAATAATTATTATTAATTTTCCTACTTTTGTTTTGCATTTGAACCTATAACTTACCTGTTTCTTTTGGTGTATCACTGTTTTCACTTTCTTTGAAACTAGTTTTATGTCTGATGTGAATGTTCAACCCTAGAGATCTACTCTAGTTCCAATACATAAATGAGTTAACTATCTTTTATACATGGAGCTTTTCTAGGCACATTCCAACTACTAATTTAAAATAATGGGTCAGTTCTAATTGTAATAAAGGTTTACAAAATAAAATTTAAAACACAGCTATCAACTCATAAAACAGAACATTTCATAAAATTAAAATAGTGTTAATATTTCATAATTTTTTTTGAGACAGTCCCCCTCCGTCGCCCAGGCTGGAGTGCAGTGGTGAGATCTCAACTCACTGCAATCTTCTCCCAGTTTCAAGCGATTCTCCTGCCTCAGCCTCCCAAGTAGCTGGGATTACAGGCACCCACTGCCACACTCAGCTAATATTTGTATTTTTAGTAGAGACAGGGTTTCGTCATGTTGGCCAGGCTGGTCTCAAACTGCTGACTTCAAGCAATCTACCCCCCTTGGCCTCCCAAGTGCTGGGATTACAGGCATGAGCCACTGTGCCTGGCCAATATTTTATAATGTTCTAATATTAGTGATTATTATATCTTTGGTCATCCCTCTCCATTCACTAGGAAGTCAATTTCAACATACAGAAATTACCTGGTATGCTTACTCTCTCAATATGACAGATTTAGTGTGACAAATACTAGATTTCACTCATGAAAACTAGGATTCTATCTACCTATATAAACAAGAATTCCTAATACCAAAAGATCATTTTAAAATTGTGTAATTCATTGTCATGTTTATCATTATCTTTAACACCTAAGTGACTACAATCTACTAACCACCAGCAAGGCTTTCATCAACCTATAAGCAATAAAGACAGAAATACTATTTCTTGGACCTATTAAGGAAATGATCAAAAATTTCCTATCATATATTAACATTCGCTTCTAACCACATACCTATTGTACTTTCTATATATTATTTAACCATTCAAACACTGGCATTATAAAAATAATATGTTGTTATTACTATCTTGAAATATTGCACAATTATTGGTTAATCTCACTCAGCGATGACTGTACTGGTGATTCAGTAGCTTGATGTTCACATCTAGTTAAACTTCCTCTTTGGTTTTAAAAACATCACTGTTGTGATTTACTGTTACATTCTCTGAAATTAAAATGCAACACCTTCTAGTCTAGATTAACAGATTAAATTATTTTAAAATCTATTTATCTAAAAAAATTGAAACAATACCTTATAGCCTATTGTCTTCCGATAATAAAGAATTTCCTTTTCCAGGAGCTCAAATAAGCGTGGTGGGAAAAATTGAAAATCCTGAACATTTGGCTGTTTTGGAGGCCGTGGAGCCTATGAGAGGAAAATGGATTATATATACTTCTTTTCAGTACATGAAGTAAACTTACTTCTCTTTTACTATTTCTGATATATAGGGAACAATAAATACAATAAAATCCATTATATGGCTGGGCCAAATCAAATACTTTTTTGTATTTATATTTTAGAGACTATGATTTGGCAATGATATAAGTAAATCTGAACCATAGATCATATTGCAAGAGAAGTCTACTTTAGGACATAAAAACCGGCCTTGTACAGTTTTACCTTTGGAATCTTTGGCTCGCTGACACGCAAAGCCTCTCTGAAGTAGGCATCCACTGCATAGTTTGCTTTGCGTTCTCGTTTAGGAGGTTCGATCCATTCCACCATGCCAAGCTATACACGACAAACAACAAGGGGTTTAATGACTCCAAACAGTTTTATCAAAATCAAGTGCATCAAGGCTGCAGAAACATAAGAAAGCAAAAGCCATCAGGAAGAATCAAAACTTGCCTTATAAATCACAATTTACCTCCAAAGTTCCAAAATGAAGTGTACACCGAGTTTAGATGCAAAGACAGTTTTCTTTATTTTTATTTGAAAGTAGGTTTAAAAACTAGTTCTTCCTTGGTGACTGAGAAGAATCTGTATAATCTGCTTACTATTTTTTGTCGAATTAAATAAATAAAAGGTAGCTAATACAGCAGGAAGAGTAACATTGACTGTGGTAACTGTAGTAAGTGTATGAATTAGAAACAGATGAAAGGGGTAAATAATACCAACATGATGAGCATGTTCAAATGAGACCTTTTAGAAATGTAGGTATGGCAGAGTTGGAAAAGTTGGTGGAAACAGAAAGACCTAGACTCTGCCACTTCACTAGTTGTATAACTTTGGGGAAATTATTTTTTTCCATCTTCAAAATGAGAATAATAATACCTACCTCGAGGATTACATATGATCATGTATGTGAAATCATTAAGTAAACTGCCAAGAGTTAAATGCAAGATATTATTAAACATCCTAAGTAGCATGAACAATGATTTGGTAGCATTACTAATTTTACCCTCTCATCGGCTAGAAAATATAATTTAACAGTCAACAGATAAAACTGACACTACAATGTTCTGGAGTCTGAGAAATGGCTTCCTAATTCATATTTTTTTGATTTCAGTGCTTAACCTAGTGTCTTTACATAAAAGAGACCATTAATCTACCATTAGTTGTCTCACTCTACTTGATCTAATCTAAGGGCTGAATTCCAACCTTGACATCATATTTTAAGAGGGGATAATAAACCAAGATGACCAAGATGGTCACAGATCTACAAATTCTCACAGTGTCTAGAGAAGTAAAGGCTAAAGGCAGACACAATAGTGGTATTCACATCTGTGAAACTCTATCAAATAGAAAAGAACACAGTTCTTCGTTGATCCCTAAGATTAAAATCAATGTGAAAAGTTAGGAGAAAGTCAATGGCTACTCAATATAATTTAACTATTAATTAAGTACCTACTGTATTATGTGTAACTCAGTGTCAGAGATATACAGATGAATAAAATAACCTCTTTCATCAAACTTATAACTCAAAAAGTTTTCTGAGAACCAGAGAATATAAGACATCAAAACAAACTACCCTGAGAGGGATAGGATTCCCAACACTATAGTGTCCAGAGGCTGCATATCTCTTTTAGATGCTAAAGATGAGATTTCTTAATCACAAGAAAGTTAGCATAAATAACCTTCTAACTCTAAGAGCCTATGAGATCTCGACATTATAATGAGATTATTAAGTAAAATGAGAAATTCCCACAGCAGTGAAACAAATTTTGCTTTTCTTTCAGATGGATGAATGTGAGATGACAGTAATGAAAGAGATATTTTATAAATAACCAATATTTTATCTTTCTCAATGGGAATAAAATAAATTAATAATGGTTTAACATTTTAAAAGTGATGTATTTAGCTATTTAACCTGTACTTGTTTGATGGCCTAGGCATTCAAATTTGAAATAATCATTAAAGGACAATTTATCAACTTGCAAAAAAAGAATAGATCATACTGAATTAGTTTATTTTAGATAAGAGTACATTAATGCTACCTTATCTGAGTTTATTTATTCAGGATCACAGCCCTCATGACTTAATTTACCAGGTATGGTGGTAAAAGAAATGCAACTGATTCAACAAACCATATATGGAGATCTACCTCAATGTATAATTTCCATGATTTATAAATAATATTCTTTCAAGTTTTCACTTCTCCTCAAAGATAATTTGAACCTATTTTAAGAACCTATCTAGAAATACAGAGAGACAGAAATAAAATATAATCTCAGCTCAGAATATTCAGAAAAAACTGATTCTGGACATCGCTGTTACTGTTAGACATTTAATTATAAAAATACAAGTCATCACAGTATTAAAATTCTCTCTATCTGTGCTTCATTACTTTGCTAAAATTAGAAGCACAAGAAAACTAGTTAGAGATAGACAAGTATTTTACTAATTTCTCTCTAAAAATGTGGATAAGAAGCTCCACTGGTATTTAGACTTCGTTGTTTAAAATTTTTCCACTTTATAACACTCCTAATACCCATAAGCCTGTAGGAATAATTATAAAATTAATAAAATTTATATCACATAATGAGATCTCAAAAGCATATTAGAAAGGCAATTTCCACCCTCTGCAGATAGGCCATCACCTCCATCTCAGTAGGATAAAATATAAGCAGTCTAAGTGAAGATTAGAGATAAGACAACCTGACAAATACAAGAAACTAAAAGCTATCAGAAGCAATAAAAGAAACAAAGTATTATCAGCATACTAGCTACAATGCAAACCAAAATGGCTCACCTCTCATTTTTCAGTAAAATAAGTACCTAAGAATGAGCTTTTCTATTTTAAAAAAATTCATTTCTGTCAGTTCAAAAATATAACAGCATTATGGAACAATTTGAACAACAAAATAAATGAAGGTAGAACTAGATTATAACTCAAAACATCCATGAGTCCATAGTGATAATAAATAAATAACTGAAGATACAAATAAACTGGGATAAGGGGTAGATCTTCCATGCAGAAAAATATCAATTAATAAATCTATTTAGGTAGAATGAAGAAAATACAAAATTACCATTAGGCAAACACCACAATAATAACTATTGCAGGCAAGCTCCACCAGTACATGCTAAGATCAGTGAGTGAAAGTTTGAGAAAGATGTCCCCCAAGGTATTTATCAATTACAGAGGGAAAAATGGCAGGAGATATATTGGAAGGCCTGGATTCCCAGAAAGAAGCCTGCCACAGGGGTTCTGTCCCCGTGGAGTGACTCTACTAAGGCAATGCTGAGTGGAAATGTATGTGAGGTTGGAACTCCTACAGAAAGTCCCCAACAAGGGCACTGCCTAGTGGAGGTGTGGAATTTGGAGTGTTGCAGGGACCCTAGAATTACAGAGCCACCATCATCAAGCATCTCCTAACTGGAAAAGCTGCAGACACCATACTCCCAATTCGTGAAAGCAGCCACATGGGCTGTGCCCAGCAAAGCCCTAGAGGCAGGACCCCTCAAGGGCTCGGGAGCCCATCTCTCACAGTAGTGTGCCCAGGATATGGGACACAGAGTCAAGGGAGATAATTTTGGAGCTTTAAGATCTAATGTCTACTCTGCTGGGTTTTGAACCTGGATTACCCCTTTCATTTGGCTGATTTCTCCCTTTCAGAATGGAAATGTCTACCCAATGCCTATACAACCATTGTATCTTAGAAATATATATCTTGTTTTTGGTTTTATAGGCTCACAGGTATAAGGAACTTATCTTGAGTCTCAGATGAGACTTTGGACTTTTGAGTTGATGGTAGAACAAGCTAAGACTTTTGAGGACCATTGGGAAGGAATGATTGTAATTTGCAATGTGAGAAGGACATGAGATTTGAGAAGCCAGAGGCAGAATGCTATAGTTTGGATATGTTTGTACCCCACATCTTACGTGGAAATTTGATCCCCAATGTTGGAGCTGGGGCCCAATAGGAAGTGTTGGATCATGGGGGCAGATCCCTCATGAAGCACTTGGTGTAGTCCTCCAGATAATGAGTGAGTTCTCTCACTCTGTTAATTCCTGACAAAGAAGCCTAGCATTTCCCTCCTCTCTCCGGCACTGTCTCTCTCTCTCTGTCTCTCCCATGTGATCTCTGCACACGCTGGCTCTCCTTTGCCTTCTGCCATAAGTGGAAGCAGGCTGAAGCCCTCAGCAGAAGCAGATGTTGATGCCATGCTTCTCTTACAGCCTGTAGAACCATGAGCCAAATAAACCTCTTTTCTTTATAAACTACCAAGTCTCAGGTTTCCATTTACAGCAACACAAATGTGCTAAGACAGTAGATATACCAATTACCCCAACTTGATCATTACACATTGTATATATGTAACAAAATATCACTCTGTAACCCACACATATGTGTCAACTAAAATAAAAGAAAAAAATAATAGTCTATTAAAAAATGCAATGTGGGATACTAGATTAGATCCCCTGGAATCTAACACCGGTTAATTAATTAACCAATGTCCTTTTCCTGGAACAGAAAGGGACATTAGGAGAAAAACTAGTGTTAATTTTCCAGTTGTGGTTATACTAACACGTAAACTGTTGACATTAGGGGAAGCTGCGTGAAGGATACAAGTTAACACTGTACTATTTTAACTCTGTACTAGTTTTACAACTATTCTGTAAGTCTAAAGTAATTTAAAAATAAAAAGTTTTAAAATTCCAGCCTTAATTTCAGTTTAAAAAACAAAATTAATAAACCCGCATTTCTTCAACAGACCACATGCAACCAAGTCCCTCTGCATTTAAGTTAACTAAATGTTACTAATATTATTATTCATATAGTTAACATTAAGTGCCAGGCATTATTCTAATAACTTTATGAGTATTAACTCACTTATTCATCATCAGAATCCCTCTATGATGTAACTATCATAACCTCCATTTGATAAGTGAGAAAACTGAGAATACCCAGAGTCACTTAATCAGTGACAAGAGTGGAGATTTCAACTCCAGAATTCACGAAGTCAATCCTACATTGCTTCTCAACAACAAATGTAGTACTAGCAGCAGCAGTAGAAGCAGCAGCAGCAAAAATAATGATGATGATGATGACGATAAACCAGTAAAATATACGAAAGGTATACCCTGCATGAGATCTTTAGACTTACATCAAATTTCACTCTGTAGCAGGGTATTATAATAGATAAGTGCCAGTGTTATCTTATAATTGTTATGGGGAGAAATGCTCATTTGAGGGTCTAATGGTTGAGGGTAGAAAGTTACCTTCTGTTTTTCTCTATAATCTTCTCCTTCAAACTTGTATAAACTTTGTTCCATGTCCATTCTAAAATTTCTTAGAGAAGACTCTCCCATTTTTTGCAGGCGCTCATTCATCTCTGCAGTCTAAAAATGAATACATTGAAATGAGAAAATCACTGAATTACTCGTAAGAGTCTATGGATTCTCTATTTTTTTAATAGTCAGGTTTTGACATGAAATACCCCAGCCTCCTAATTTACAAGGTATGAATGCAACGCTAACATCAAAGTTGAAGTGCAAATTTTACTTGCCCAAGTATTTCAAATATTTAAATGGTGCTTCCCAAGTACTCTCGCTTAGGCTTTCTTTAAAATCTTTCATCAGTGAAGTTGTAGCCACATTATAATTCCTCTTGCATAATTTAAATGGGACATATAGTTAATGCTAAGAGAAAGGCAAAGTTGGACTAAAACAACACATTTGCATACTGATATGAAACATACTAACACAAGATTATTCAAAATGCAGGTTATTATCCGAAGTACAAAAATTTTCTGAAAAGCAAATTCATCCAGTTTTTTTGCTCACCGCAACCTCCGCCTCCTGGGTTCAGGCAATTCTCCTACCTCAGCCTCCTGAGTAGCTGGGATTACAGGCACGCGCCACCATGCCCAGCTAATTTTTGTATTTTTAGTAGAGACGGGGTTTCACCATGTTGACCAGGATGGTCTCGATCTCTTGACCTCGTGATCCACCCGCCTCGGCCTCCCAAAGTGCTGGAATTACAGGCTTGAGCCACCGCGCCCGGCCTTCAACCAGTTTACAAGATATGTAATTAACATGGTAAAATACACTATGGAGATGAAATCAGCAAAATCCACACTGTGATTAACTCAAAAGGCAAACAACCTAGTTTCTTCACCAAATAAATTACAAGGAATACAATGCATGTCGGGAGTGGGATGCCTATAGAGTTTAAAAGACAGAGATGAAATCTCGATCAATAGCAATTTGTATTCTGACTTGCATTCTGATTTTAAAAACAAAACTTTTTAAGTATAAATATTTATGAAACAATTGGAAATTTGAATACTAACTGGATTTTTGGTATTATTAAAGAATTACTGAAGTTTTCAGGTGAGACAATGTTACAATGATTACTTTAAAACAGTCCTTCTATTTAACAAATACAAAGTAAACTATTTACAGCTGAAATATGTCTGAGATTTGCTTCGAAATAATCCAAGAAGGGGAAAAAAGAGCTGGGGATATAAATAGGGCAGGACTAGTTGATGGTTGTTAGAAACAGGTGATAAGTACTTGGGGGCTCATTATACTATTCTGTCTCCTTTTACTTATGTTTAGTATTTCATAAAATGTTTTATAAAAGATTTTCAATTAACCAATATATCAGTAGATGACTTCTAATCCAGTACAAAAAAAAGATTATAAAAATATAGTCTGGTCAAGCATGGTAGCTCATGCCTATAATCTCAGTGCTTTGGGAGGCAGATTTGGGAGGTTCACTTGAGGCCCGAGGTTCAAGATCAGCGTCAGCAACACAGCAAGACCCTGTCTCTACAAAAAAAATGTTAATTAGATGTGTATGTTGGCACACGCCTGCGGTCCCAGCTAATTGGGAAGCCGAGGTGGGAGATCACTTGAGCCCAAGAGGTGGATGCTACAGTGAGTTATGATTGCACCACTGCACTCCAGCCTGGGTGACAGAGCAAAATCCTGTCTCTAAAAAAAAATGCAGTCCTTATACATGTGATTAAACACAAAATTTACTTAGCTTTTAGATATAGTATTTTCAATAAAGCATTAGGTATAAGATCAACTCCGTTTTAAACTCTGGTTCTTAGTCTTTCTCACCAAAAAAAAAATTTTAAGCCCTAATCTACCACTGAAAATAGATCTACAAGTTGTTAGAAAGAATATGAGTTATCTGAAACATGTAGATATACATGGACAATGCAAATACAAGTTTGCTGAAGTATGTTGATTTTAAAGCAATCCATCATGAAGATAAAATGCTATTTTAACTAACCTTCTTTTCCCCTCTTTCCAAAATAGTTGTAATGTCTTCATCTGTCAACTCACTCTCTTTAGAAGCAAAAACGTGGGTGGCTCCATGCCGTATCATTTGCAACATTTCCTCTTTGGCCAGCTTGTTAGACTGTTGGTCAATGAGTCTTCCTAATGATAAAAATTAAAATTGCATATACTCAATCAATTATATTCCAAAGAAGGCATAATCATTCTAATCAGACATCACCATATTAGCCATACATAAAGCTTTAAAAGAATAAAAAGTTAGTGAACATTAAGGTTATTTGTCTAATGAACAACCCTACAAGTTTTTCTTCTACCATACTGTCTATTTCGATGTGAATTTCCTTCTGTAAAACTCAGTTAAATCCAGAAGGAAATTGTTTTTCATGTTCAAACTTTGTTTTCAGATCAAACTTCTCTATATGAAAAGGCACCCTCTAATATACTTTTTCAAAAAATTTAAAGTAGCCATTTTATCTGCTAAATAACCTCAGGTACTTCAAAAAGTATGCTACTGACATTCAAGAATAAGCTAGTGATGTTCAGCTACTCCATATATTGAATGCCAGGGTTTCAATTCAGAATATTTCAGTTAGCATTTTTTTATGAGGTGGAGTCTCGCTCTGTCACCCAGGCTGGAGTACAGTGGCTTGATCTCAGCTCACTATAACCTCAGCCTCCCAGATTCAAGCAATTCTCCTGCCTCAGCCTCCCAAGTAGCTGGCACTACTGGCATGTGCCAACATGCCCAGCTAATTTTTTGTGTTTTTAGTATAGAAGGAGTTTTACCATGTTAGCCAGGCATCTCAAACTCCTGACCTCAGGTGATCCACCCATCTCGGCCTCCCAAAGTGCTGGGATTATAGGCGTGAGCTGCCGCTCCTGGCCTCAATTAGCATTTTTAATTTTTTTCCTTTTACTTTTAGGTGATACATAACAATTGTACAGACTCATGGGATACACAGTGATGTTTCCATTTTTCCTCTAAGTTTTCAAATTTGGTCAACTTTTATTAAAAGTAATCTCCTTTGAATGTGTTGAATGCATGTGTTTTACAAAAACCACCTAATAAGATTTCTATGTATAAATACCTTGTTGTATAACAATTGAATCAAGTCTCAGTTTTATCTCAGCTCTTTCTACAATCCTCTCTTCAACAGTGTTGTCAGTGATGAGACGGAATACACGTACTGGCTTCTTCTGACCAATACGATGTGCTCGATCCTAGTAGAAAGAGTCCTAATATAAGATACTCAATATTCTGTATAAAATTTATAGAGTATAGCCATCATATTCCATAAATTCTAAAAACTAAAATTAGTTCTTTATCTCTAGATCTGACACTTTGGAAAGAGCATGAGGAATATTGAGAATGTCTAAAGACCACTGGGAACAAAGAAATCTGTAACTATTATATTGTACCATTAATGGGAAACTTCCAGGACAAAGGGCAAAGCACCTGTACGATGAAGAAAAGAGGGAGCTGAAAGTTTCTGGATTGAGTTAATAAGTAACTTTAAGTCACTAATATAAACATCTTCCAAACTAGCAAGGAATTTTATTAAGTAGTTAGTAAGGGTTGCTATGTGGCAAAAGTCTGCTTTATCTCATCATCAGGCAGTTCTTTCTGCTTACAGAGGGATGTGTTGTAAAGAGTTATAAAAATCAATGGGATATTAATATCCTTACTATCCAGTAGCCTAGAACTGGTCCTATGGTTTATAGTTGGTACAGGTGACAGGTACAAATTTCTAGAGGTATAAAACTATCTAGGGAGAGTATTTTTAAAACACAGAAACTGATAGAGCAAATAGGTAAAGAGAGGAAGGTAGTACAGAAAAAAATGTTTTAAGTTCTAAACAGGCCTGTACTAAATATAAACACCTAAAACCTAGTAACAAAGTTTCAACAGAGCACATTAAAACACAATGTAATACTCTACACATATTTACATGAAACCTGAACCAACAAATCCTGAAAGACTGGATGTGCACTAAGACTTCTAAGGAAATGAAGTGCTATCACTATGAGATTTTCCAGTTCAGTAACACTGTAACTCACTGGGGCTTACTCCTAGTTAGTCATATCAAACAGGCAGTTCAATACCATGGTAATGTAATAATAATTACACCAAAGGATATTGATTTTGGAATGTCCCAGTGGTCAATCCTTTTCAATTCTCTATTATAAAAGGAAAGCCTTCTAAGTTATATGTCATTGGCATATGACTTTTCATTGTTCCCAAAAAGACAATTATCCCATACCTATGTATTCAAAATCCTAAGAAGCTATTTTGTATCTTTTTACTTCTAAATTATATTTCTTTATCGGAAAATGTAAGTCACATTGAGAGAAGTTGTAGCTTTAGTTCAATGACACCAAAATATCAAAGGAGTTACCTGTAGTGTTTTGATGAAAAGTCAGAGAAGAGCTCCCTAAAAAAAAAATTTTTTAAGTGTAGAATAGCTTTTGGATAGTGTCCTTATTAAGTATCAAGTGTTTTCCCTGGAATTATTCCTTTCTTACCTTTTTGCCTTCTCTCCCAAACTGTTTTATTATGAAAGTTAAAAATCTTACCTCTCCCAATTTCAGTACTAAGGATTTTAATATATTTAGTTGTTATGCAGAATAATAACAACAGACTGTTTTTTTAATCCCTTTCATTAAAAACAATTTATATGTCCTCTTCAATCTTTGGAATGGGAAAAAAATTTTCTATTTCATGATAAAAACCTAAATCAACACATAAATGCTATAGCTGGTATCTGGGGGTGTGTTTGTTGTAGGCTTCCATTTCTTTTGTTTTTGCAATTAGCACAGCAACTGTGTGCTCTAGGATAATCTCTACAAAATCTCTCAAAAATCATTAACTGTTTTATCATGAAGAACCTTGATACTGTTTAAATAGCAATAGTATTCAGAGTTATGATAAATTTCTGGCACCATTAAAGATTACTAACCATAGCTTGTAGATCAACCTGTGGGTTCCAGTCTGAATCATAGAGTATAACCACATCAGCACTTGCCAGGTTAATTCCAAGACCTCCAGCCCTGGTACTTAGCATAAAGATGAATTTGCTACTATTAGGAGCATTAAAAGCCTCTATTGCTTCCTTAATTTTTAATTGATAAAAGGATAGAAGAAAAGAGAAAAATAAAATTAGACTATCAGGGTCCTTAAGAAACAAATAAAAACATTTAAAATACATATAGAAAATCTTCACACACTTTCTAATATTTTTTATAAATATATTTTATAATATTCTTCCATCTTCAAAAATATTTAAGTACGTATACATACACTGTGCTATGTGAATTTATGTAGAAAGTATAATGTAAATGAAATTCCTAATCTTTAAAAGCTTACATCAATAGAAACAAACTTAGAATAATTACATAGCCAAATTTAACTAAGCAAGTAGTAATTCGTTTACATTATTTAAAAACAGTAACAGTGAAAACGTTTTAATTGAGGGAGAGCTGAAATATATCCGGGGGGTGAATTATCAGAAATCTCAACTTCATCCCATTAGTTTATGAATGATTAGTTTAGAAGATCAACAGAGAAAATGATTTAGAAATGGGAATGAGAGCAACAGATAAAGGGGAAGGTAAGAAGATTTTTATCAGTATGGTAACAAGGAACAAGTCGGTAAGTTATAAAGAAAATCAGGAAGACAATCCAGGGATATTTTGTAAAGAATCTTAAAATTAATATTAATATTCTTACTATATAAAGATTTCATAGAAATTAATTAGAAACAAAGTACAGTAGAAAAATGAGCAGGAAAAAAAAAATCCAGACATTCAAAGAACAAATACAAATGGTTAGAAAACAATAATAATGTTCATTCTCACTGGTAATAAAATAAACACAAACTAAAACAACAACATAACATTTTGAAGATTAAAAAATGATAATACTCAATGTTGACGAGGGGGCGGTGAGACGGGCACTCTCATACATTGCTGCTGGGAGTATAAATTGGTACAACCTTTCTGGAAAGCAATTTGGCAATATGCATCAAGAGCCTTAAAAATGTTCATACCCTTTGACCCCGAAATTCCACTTCTAGGAATTTATCCTATGGAAATAATCAGAGATGTGCACAAAGATTTATGTATAAAAACTTTCACTATAGCATTATCTATAATAGTGAAAAATTGGAAACAACCTAACCGATCAACAATAGGGGGATGAATTATTTCTAGTACATCCATAAAATAAAATATTAGCCTAAAATTATTTTACGGACATTAAAAAGTACAATATAATACTGAGCAAAATGTATCAGGATACTAGACTTTATATATAGTATATGAAGTATGATACCAATTACTTGTACATATTACATATACCTAAAAAGATTGGCCAGAAATACTTGCATTTATTTTCAAAACTTCCCTCAGCAGTCACATATTACTTGCATATTCACAAAGTATGGGCAATCTCTTTTAAACTAAATGGGTGGCATGGTCAAAGTTTTAGGCAGAGAAGGTGACTCGCACCATCACAGTCAGCAGAGCAGGTAAAGGGGGCAGTACAGAAAGCAGCATGGTGTAGTGAGAGGCACTTTGGTGTAGAGGAAATAGCAAAAACTTGGGCATGAATCACAACTTCACCATTGATTACATCTGTGATTCTGGGCAAGTATTTAATCTCTCTGAGACACAGTTTCAAACAGAGAAAATTATACCAATACTTTACCGGGCTGCTGGGAGAATTCAATTGGAACTTTAAGTTGCCTAGCTTATAGTAGTTGCTTGACAAATGTTAGTTCCTTTCCCTACAAAAGTGAGGAGGCCAATTAAGCAGAGGTTACAGGAACTGAGTCAGACGATGACCAGTGGCTTTGTTAGCTGAATTTAGCTGTAGTAATGGAGAAAGGGAAAATCTGAGAGCTGTTGAGAAAGAATTACTTATTCACAGCTGGCACACAATCAAAATAAGGAATCAAACGTGGTCTTCTCCTTCTCATTGGGAAAAAAGATGAAATGATGGTGTGGACAACATAATGGGAAAGCAGGGCATTTCCAAGAAAAAATGAACAGCTCTGACTTTGCTATATTTAAAGTCAATACATGAAATTCAGAGTCTCTGAGGGGATAACGTTGTTTAGAATTTTTAAAACCAGAACAATTTTGGACATAAATAGATGAACAGTAGAGAGCTCGGTCAGAAATGCAAATTGACTATCTGAGGTCAGAAAGCACGTACTGTTCTGCCATGATAGTCTCTTCATTCTAGGAAGAAGGATACTCCTGAATGGTACCATAGGGCCTATGTTTAGTGTGGATTCAGGGAAACCAAGCCTCAGAAATAAGTTAGCAAAAGCTCAGTTAACGCTTTAAGTTGCCATATCAGAGAGTAAAAAAACTATAGGGCAGGGAATAGTGTAAGCTTTGAAATGTCTTCATATGTATAAATGTTATTGCAACTGTTTCCCTATAGAGGTAGCAGTAAAACCTTTAATATGAAAAGGGTCTGTGCGCTTGCTGTGAACACTATGCTATGCTAGAACCAGGGTTCAATAAGGAAGCACACAAGGAATGGAGTGCCCATTGCAGCTATGGAAGAAATAGGATGCGGGCTAAGAGAGAGTCCCTGTAGCCTGAGATGGGGCCCTAAAGGTGTAAGGGGAAAGCCCTGTGTGTAATTTCATGACATGTGGTACATACTGCAATATGCCATTTACAACTGTGCTCATACCTATTATATCCACTTATCCCTGTCAGAGAAAGAAGCCTAGGTATTATCCTTATAATAGAATTAAAGATACTGAGGCTCAGAGAATTAAATGGCTTGCACACACTGCAAAGTGGTGGAGTTGGTGCCAAAACTCAGGTCTTCTGAAACCAAGTTCAGTGCATTTTCCACTATACCATAAATCACGATCTTTACCCAAAGCATGAGTACAGCAGGTCCTCGAGTAACGTCGTTTCATTATAAAACTGATGAGAAAAAAAAAATCAATTCCTGGCCAGGGCCACAGTCCATATGCATTTTGCATGCACTCCCCATGTCAATATGAGTATTCCCCCATGTCTTCCCACAGCCCAAAGCTGTGCACCAAACGCGAATTGGAATGTCTACACAATTCCAGTATGAGCGTGGTGTGTGTGAGGTGTGAGCATGCCCTGTGATGGAATGGCATTCTGACCAGGGCTAGTTCCTGCCTGGGGTCCTAAGCTGCCAGGAGAGGCTCCAACCACTGTAATCCTGAACTAAGAAGATAAATAAGAAGATAAATAATTTTCTTGCTTGCTTTTATTAATCTTTCTTAAATGTATGTATGGCTCACCTTTATTTCCATGTTTAATATTATAAGTGTTTTGGTCTTTATTTCTAAGTTTGGTGATGCCTTTGTGACCAGAAATATGTCATAGGAACTGGGGTCTTGTCTTGTCACACAGTTTGAAATGAAGTGGCACAATCACAGCTCACTGCAGCCTCAAATTCCTGGGCTCAAGCAATCCTCCTGTCTCGGCCTCCCAAGTAGCAGGGACTATAGATGCATGCCACCATGCCTGGCTAATACTTTTTTTTAATTTTTTCTTTCTTTTTTTTTGGAGAGACCAGGTCTTGCTGTGTTGCCCAGGCTAGTCTTGAACTACGGGGCTCAAGCAATTCTCCTGCCTCAGCCTCCCAATCCCAAATGTTGGGATTATAGGCAATAAACCAACACACCTGGCCAGAACTTAAATCTTGTTTATATCAATTCGCCTAAGATCATACATTGTTTTGCTTGAAGCTGCAGTTTCTAAGAACCTATCAACGACATTAAGTGAGGACTTACTGTACAGACTTAAAACAGAAGCCAAAGACAAGAGCTCTGAAGGATCACTGAAAACAGAAGATAAATTAGCAAAGCTTTCCAAGAAAAAGTGCTTTAAAAAGGGTATTAAATGCATTCAACCCATGACATTTGTGAAGGATAATCTAAAGACCTATAAGAATTTCCATGTTTGAGAAAGATACTGCATACTAAATAAGCTTACTCACTAAGTGACCCATTCCTACATGCCAACCTTTTAGTGTCCCAAGGTCTAAATTCATGATAAATACCTATACCTATGTTGTCACATTTAATTGTTACAAGAGCTCTATAAGAACCAAGATTATTCCCTTTACAAATTACTATGCTTCATGAGTCTTTAGGGTTGCTTATAAACAGGCAAAATTTCAACCATTAAACTCCACAAATGGCAAAGGTCTGCTATAGCTGGCAAATCAGGAAAAGAAAATGACATAAAATTGGAGATCAGAGAGTAAGGTGAGAAACTGTTAGGAATTTAAAAAGTCAGAGATAGGCATGGTTAGAGAAGATAAGAATGGAGGATGGGATGGTGTAGTGTCCTTTAGATAAGAGATGATGTCTTTGAAGACCTTGAAAAAGATGATTTGTAAAGAGTCAGTGGAATGGAAGCCAAATTGAAGACTGAAGCGAGAAAGAGATGTTAATGAGAAAGTCAATGTACCCACCTAAAGAAAAGGCAAAAGTTCAAAACTACCTAATGTTGATAAACATTGCTTAATTGAACTCTGATTTCTGAAGTCTATTTTATTTTCTCTTCCTCACCTCTCTTTCTTCATGGGGGGTTTGTCCATCCAGTCGACAATACTCATAACCACGCCACATGCAGTAATCTTCCAAAATGTCCAGCAAGCGAGTCATCTGGCTGAAAATGAGAACCCTTGAACCTAAAACATTTCACCAAGAAAAAGTGAGTTATATAACTTGCGTGAAACTAACTTAAAAGCTGCAAAAATGAACATTATATGCAACATAAACGTAGAGCACATGAATGCTTCACTAAACACACACACACACACACACACACACACACACACACCCCTTCAAGAGATGCTATGTATAGAATTACACATTTGTTGAGTTAGCCATTTTTTAAGGTCTTCAAACTCCTCCACACATATTGCAACGACTTGAAAGAAATTGCCTTTACTTTTTCTTAAGGACGAATAATGAGTCCACAGACTCTCTCACTGGACTACAGCAATAGGCTCCCAACTAGTCTCCTGTTCCTAGTCTCTCATCCTTAATAGACCCCATACCGCTTCCAAGGTTCTCTTCCGAACATGTAGGAGTGACATACTCTGACTGTCACTCCTCACAGCCAATTATTCTCTGACCCTCCCTCTGCCTTCAAAATAAAAGTCCTAGCTCATTAAAGCATGGTTTTAAAATACCTTTCATAATTTGGCTCCATCCATCTTTCCAGATTCATCAACTGCCATTCTATCCCAAGTACCATTTGCTCTATTCTTTGTTTCGCACCTGTTTCATTACCCTGGAAACCCTTCCCCTTCTTCCCCATGGTTCACTTCTATGCATTCTCCAGTGCTCACCTCAAAGGTCATCTCCGTGAAGACTTTCTCAACTTCCAGATTCTCAACATATCATAGCACTTACCACAACGAATTACAACTATTCCTCCTCACTACACTGTGAGCTTATCCAAGGCAAAGACTGTTGTCTTATTCATCTTTGTACACCCAGCCCATAGGACAATTCCTGCAAATAGTAAGTACTCAACAATGTCTGCTGAATAAATGAATGAATGAATATGGAAAATTTTATTTATATACAAGTCATTAATATAAATTTATTCCATGCTAATTTAAAAATGTATTACCCACCCTGTTCTTTGAGTTTGGCCAATAGTTTATCCAGAACTACCATTTTACCACTGTTGCTGACAATATGCTCATCAGTGGTGTAAGGTGGACCAGGTTCAGCACCATCAAACAGATATGGATGATTACAACACTTTCGAAGCTGCATCAGAATGTTTAAGAGTCGCATCTTGTCCATCTTGCCAGAAGAGTTTAAAACATCGATATCTTTCATCAGGATTTTTGTATACCTAAAAGTTTAAACTATAATTAATCATCAATTACTAGAAAGTTAATGTCATAAAAACATGTTCCTTTGGCCATCAGATTAGATTCCTATTTAAAGATAAACAAGATTTGATTTGAGGCTAAATATGATGGGCAAAACCAACAAAGAAATGAAAATTTGAACATTTGAACTTGCATGTTGCAAATAAACCTGTTTCCTCCTGCTTTATCCATGACCAGAAATTGCCATCAGTTGGAAATTATTTAGAGAATTATACCTGCTAATTACTCAATAACTATAACACCTCGCTGAAAGTTGACATCCAACGTTTACTTGTTTGAACGAATAACCATTTCGATTTTTTATACCTGTCTTCACATTTTTTCTGATCCTATAAACATTTTTCATTCTCTTTTCTAGAACTCCACCCCCACAAACAGAGACTTATGTATATATAGATGCCAGATCAATAATACATAATTATAATAGTGATCAACTTTTATTGAGTGCAAGTGCCAAGTATTATGTCAAGGGCTTTATATGAATTATGCCACTAAATCTTCATAAAAACTCTGAGTATTTACTATAGTATCATCCCCATTTTACAGGTGAAAATTAAGGCAGCTAAGAGAAATTAAACAACTTACTCAGGGTCACAAAAGGGAAAAAACCAAGCTGTGATCTTATGTCTGAGTCCAAAGAATATACTCTTAATCGCTACCCTATACTGGCTTGTGTAGTAAATAAATCATATATTTTATGCATGATCTAATTTTATTTATATATGTAACACTTTGCTCCTATTAGCAGCACTATCACATTATTAAATCTTCTGATTTATGATTTCTTGTAACTTCCCTTGTCAATTTCCTGCTTTAATTGCATTTATCTAACCATTCCAGATGCTATTTTTGTAATATCCACATTGACATACATTTGCATCATCACTATTATTTTGGTTATAACTATTTTCACTAAAAGGAAAAAACAATTACGTTTTTTTTTTTGAAACAAGCTCTCAGTCTGTCACCTACCCTGGAGTGCAGTGGCACAAACATGGCTCACTGCAGCCTTGACCTCCTGGGCTACAGTAAACCTCCTGCCTCAGCCTCCCATGTAGCTAGAAACACAGGTGTGTGCCACAATGCTCAGCTAAATTTTTATTTATTTTTTTGTAGAGATGGGGTCTCACTTTGTTGTCCAGGTTACTCTTGAACTCCTGGGCTCAAGTGATCCTCCTGTCTCGGCCTCCCAAAGTACTGGGATTACAGATGTGAGCCACTGCACCTGGCCAAAGAATGCTTTTAAAGAATGCTTTTCAACTAACAAGTATCCCACTGACATTATCCCCTTTAATCCTAACATCATCCTCATAAGTTCAATATTATTATCCCATTTTACAGAATGGAAATTTAGGTTACGTAACTTGCCCAAGATAACTAGCTATTAAGTGATAATGCATGAAATTCAAACACAGATCTATAGACTCCAAAACCTATACTCTTTTTGAAAGGCTAAATAAAATGCCTATACATTTTCTCTGAAAATACTTGAACCTCCTTAACTTACCATTTAAATATAAAATGTAATTTTTGAACTAACGGCATAACTGAACAACTCTAAAGCTAATTCTTAGTAAGCTCTTACATACAAATAAGTTTTAATGGAGATAAAATAGCTCACCATTCTCGCTGCATCTTACTCAGTCCCAAGTAAATCTTTATTTCCTTTTTAGGTGGCAGACTCTTCTCTACATCAGTTTTTATACGACGCAACAAAAATGGTTTTAAAACCTAAAAGGTGATCATTTTTATAAAAGTTTATGAAAATTTGAAACATTTAATATGATTAATGGTTTTCATTAACAACATTAATGTGAAATTTACTTCCCACCGCATAGTCTGAAAAACACTACCAACACCAGTTGCCAACTTTCTTGGTTGAGAACCACCAAGTAAGAGTCCATTAGAAAATCAGAATAGAGGACCTGAAGCAGGCATTCATGACTTCATGGTACAAAATGCATGAAAAATTCAGACAACAAGACTGGTTACTAAATAAACACTAAAGACCCCTTTTTTAAGAAGCTGCTGTAATACAAGTTTTGTTTTTCTTTTTTTCTGAGACGGAGTCTTGCCCTGTCACCCAGGCTGGAGTGCAATGGCGCGATCTTGGCTCACTGCAACCTCCACCTCCTGGGATCTAGCGATTCTCCTTCCTAAGCCTCCTGAGTAGCTGAGATTACAGGTGCACACCACCACGCCCGGCTAATTTTGTTTGTACTTTTAGTAGAGATGGGGTTTCACCATGTTGGCCAGGATGGCCTCGAACTCCTGACCTTGTGATCCACCCACCTCGGCATCCCAAAGTGTTGGGATTACAGGCGTGAGCCACTGTGCCCGACCAACAACAAGATATTAAAACCTGAGAAGAAATCTGAAGTCAGAGTATGGATCAGGGAGGCTTCAAAATGAAATACAAATGTAGGTCACTTCAAAGTACCATCATATGCCACTTAATGATGGGGATATGTTCTAAGAAATGTGTTGTTAAAGTGATTTCATCATTGTGCTAAGATTATAGAGTGTTCTTACACATACCTATATGGTGTATGCATTTATTTCTTTTATCATATAGAAAACCAAGTGTCGCAGCAGCATTACTCACTATCAATCATTTCCCCTACTTCATCTGCAATGCCAGTATCAAGTGCCATATAGCAGGTCTCTATATATGCTCCATTATAATCTGATGGGACCACCATCATCTATGTGGTCCACTGTTGACCATAATGTTGTTATGCCAGTGCATGACTGTAGTTAAATATATAAATGCGGAGAAAATATTCAATGTGAAGGAACAATACAGATGATTGGAAAAAAAGATAAAACAATCAGTGTATACCTGTAAGACAGATTCTATCACAAGAAAATAATAGTATACAATCTATAGAGTACCTGCCTACAATGTGCCAGACACTCTACTATGAACTTTACATGTATTATTTAATCCTTACAATAAATCTGAAGGAAATGTTTTCATTTCTATTTTAGTAAGGTCATCAAAGGAACTTTACTAGCAAGTGTTAGATGTGGAATTCAAACCCAGATCAGGATAATTCTAAAATCAGCTCAGTCCTGACTAGCTGTTGTGAGCCTGGCAAAAAATTTTTCCAAGCCTATTTTCTCATCGGCTCATCCAAAAATATATATGTGTGTATATGCCAAACTTTTTTTTTGGAGACGGAGTCTCACTCTGTAGCCCAGGCTGGAGTGCAGTGGCACGATCTCGACTCACCGCAACCTCCGCCTCCTGGGTTCAGGTTATTCTCCTGCCTCAGCCTCCTGAGTAGCTGGGATTACAGGCACACACCACCATACCCAGCTAATTTTTCGTATTTTAGTAGAGAGGGGGTTTCACCGTGTTGCCCAGGCTGGTCTCAAACTCCTGAGCTCAGGCAATCCACCCACATCAGCTCCTGAAGTGTTAGGATTACAGGTATGAATCACCATGCCTGGCCCACCAAACATTTTTAAATGATGATAATGATACCTATTTCCAAGTCTGCTGTGGAAATTTGTGGTAGTACATATGTAGAACTTAAGTATACAGCAGACACTCAATAAACTGTAGCTATTATTATTAGAGATCTATGGGAAGTAAGGAAAGGGGAAGGGTAAAAGAAGACTTCTGGTTTCTGGAGTAAGCCTCAAAGTTTTCTAAAAGATATCATTAAAAGGTTAAACTGCCTGTAAGATACTCAAGCAGAAAGACTCTGAAGGCAACAGGATATGAAAGGATAGTGCTTTGGAGAGGGATACAGAGAGGTCATTTCAGGCGGTATCAGTATGTAGGTGGTAGGTAAAACCATGGGAGTGGATCCCAGAGACAGCATGTATGAAAGTGAAAGACAGAGCCCTATAAATGCTAAACTTTATAAGAGACAGACAAAGAAAGAAAAGCCCACAAAAGGGACTGATGGGGTGGACAAAGGGTAAGAGAAAATCCAAAGAGAACAGTATCCTAGAAATCAAGCAGGAAAGTGTTTCCAGCAGGAGGAGATGGTTGGCAGCTTCCAAGCAATAGCCAAGATACTGACCAAAAAGCATACCCTGAATTCAGCAACTGGAAAGTCATTGAAGACACTGTGAGATAAGTTTCAGTTGTATGGAATAGATAGAAGCCAGTGGTCAATGGATCCAAGAGTAAACAGGAGACTGGGAAATAGAGATGGAGAGGATAAACTACATTTAGGCCGGGTGCGGTGGCTCAAGCTTGTAATCCCAGCACTTTGGGAGGCCAAGGCGGGTGGATCACGAGGTCAAGAGATCGAGAACATCCTGGTCAACATGGTGAAACCTCGTCTCTACTAAAAATACAAAAAATTAGCTGGGCATAGTGGCATGTGCCTGTATCCCAGCTACTCAGGAGGCTGAGGCAGGAGAATTGCCTGAACCCAGGAGGCGGAGGTTGCGGTGAGCCGAGATCGCGCCGTTGCACTCCAGCCTGGGTAACAAGAGCGAAACTCCGTCTCAAAAAAAACAAAACAAAACAAAACAAAAAAACCACTCTTTCAAGAAGCTTAGCTATCAAGAGAAGAAAACAGAATCACAGCCAGAAGGACACAGTGTTGAGGAAGCACTGTTTTGCATATGCATGAGGTTGGATGGGTACATGTTTGGGTTTGGAGTTAATAAGGCAGATATCTGAGAATGTTTACACTTAGGGAAAAGAGCCAACATGGAGGGAGAGGGAGAAAATATAGCCAGTTAAAAATACAGAAAATATAGTCAATTAAAAAGAGGTAGAAAATATAGTCAACTAAAAGATAAATTGGGGTGAAAATCCATAAAGAAAAAGGAAGCGATGAGATCAAGGACTCACATGGAAGAATTAGCCACTGACCAGAGAAAAGACACCTCTTCCACTCAGACAGAAGGTAACACAAATGCAGATCTCCTTGGAAGGTAGACATCCTTGAAGAACTTCCTACCTAATGTCTTCTTTTCCCTCTTTGAGAAAGGAATGGTGTTAGCTGCTGAGGGAGAAGGAAGGCAGGAGATACCTGGGACAGAAGTGTTGGGGAGATGGGTGAAGGTCTGGAATAGTTGTTATAGGAAATAGGAAAGAAGACTGTAGAAGGCCATGGTGAAGGATCACCAGTATTACCACATCTTAGCTTATGTTAGAGAACATAGAATCATAGTGGTTCCAACCTGGACAGTTGTGAAATCTTTTTAACCAGTGTTGGGTAGCCCCAGTACAGAGACGTTCACTCTGCTAGTAAGTGGCAGAAGCAAAATTGAAACTCAGAAGGCAGAGAGACAGTTCCATTACATTATTCCAGGTTATGGCTTTTAAGCAGGTATGGCAGATGGAGAAGGGAGCAAAGGAGTTTAAGAGTACTAGCCAAAGATGGTTCAAGTGACAGAAAATGAGCTCATGGCAGCTGGGTACAGTGGCTCAGGCCTGTAATCGCAGCACTTTGGGAAGAGGCCAAGGCGGGTGGATCACGAGGTCAAGAGTTTGAGCCCAGCCTGGCCAATATGGTGAAACCCCATCTCTACTAAAAATACAAAACTTAGCCAGGCATGGTGGTGGGCACCTATATAGTCCCAGCTACTTGGGAGGCTAAGGCAAGATAATTGCCTGAACCCAGAAGGCAGGGGTTGCAGTGAGCAAGATCATGCCACTGCACTCCAGCCTGGCGACAGAGTGAGACTCCATCTCAAAAAAAAAACAAAAAAGAAAGAAAGAAAGAAATAAGTTCATTGCTGGATAGAGAAAAAGGTCACGACAGAAATAAGCTGATAGATGGGGAGAAAATGCAGAGGTCTTGGGACTAGAGGTCTCTGTGAGGTAACAGGACAAGTACAGAAGGATTAACATGAATGAAACCACTAGAAAATATAAGAAGTTGTGATCAAAGAAAAGAAAGTTGGGGCCAGGCACAGTGGTTCATGCCAGTAATCCCAGTACTTTGGGAGGCTAAGGTGGGTGGATTATGAGGTCAGGAGTTTGAGACCAGCCTGGCCAATATGGTAAAAACCTGTCTGTATTAAAAATACAAAAATTAGCCAGACGTTGGTGGTACATGCCTTTAGTCCCACCTACCTGGGAGGCTGAGGCAAGAGAAGAACTTGAATCGGGAGGCAGAGGTTGCAGTGAGCTGAGACAGCAGCACTGCACGCCAGCAGCCTGGATGACAGAGTGAGACTCTCAAAAAAAAAGAATAGAAAATTGGCACACAACAAATGTGAAGGAGCCACCCAATGATAAACAGATTAACAAGGAATGGGTGGAGGGTAAACTGCAAGACAGCTTAGGCCTCAAAGGAAGAGCTTTATACATGACAGTGGAGAAACAGTGGCTTAGAAGTGGCGGGGGGAAACTAGGAGAATACTGATGCCATCCTGAGGAACTGCAGGGTGTGGGAGCAAGAACAGCCTCTCTATTGGAGAGGACATTATTCACAGGGGAGAACCAAGGCAAAAAAAAAAAAAAAAAGCTGTTCTAGAAAGAAGCTGAGAACATAGAGGTAATTTTTTTTAACCGAAGAGGCTGTCAGAAAGGTTGGGAGGGAGAAACGGTGACACAGAGCCAAGAGGAAAACACACAAGTTCAAACAAATTCTATAGCATTTTGTTTTCTGGGTCAGTCTGTGTATACCACTTAATTACTGAATGTTCTTTTCTGCTATTACTTACTGCATGAAGTCTTTCCACGAGTTTTTGATCCCCAAGACAATTTTTAGTGTCAAACCAAGAATCAAAGTCCTGTGGAGGGGTGGAAATTCTGCAATAAGTGCCACAGCTTTTTAAAATATACTCGATATTCTATAGATTCCTATACAACCAATACAGAAATAATGCATTTAAAAAGTACTTTCAAAAACATTAGCTGTGATGGCTTTTACTTCTGAAAATAGGTAAAATACTAGAGCACAAAATTTGAAACTCATTACATAAGAATTCATCAACTTTTTCTTTAAAAGACACTTATTAGGCTTCCCCATGCTGTAGTAATATTATATCTAGTTTAAAAAGTAGGCAAATATAAAATCAAAGACAGAATGCTAATTAAAATATTAATTTTCTCAAACAATAAAACAAAAGCAAGATGAAGTATGCAAACCAACTGATGGCTGAACTTGATACTTTTATTATCAATTAATAATCATAATGGGGGTGGGCATGGTGGCTCACACCTGTAATCTCAGCACTTGGGAGGCCAAGGTAGGCGGATCACTTGAGGTCAGGAGTTCAAGAACAGCCTGGCCAACATGGCAAAACCCTGTCTCTACTAAAAATACAAAAAAATTAGACAGGAGTGGTGACAGGTGCCTGTAATCCAAGCTACTGGGGAGGCTGAGGCAGGAAAATCACTTTAACCCAGGAGGCGAAGGTTGCAGTGAGCTGAGATTGCACCACTGTACTCTAGCCTGAGCGACAGCGAGACTCCCTCTCAAAAAAAAAAAAAAAAAATCATCATCATCATCATCATCATAATGGGAAAAATCAAGCACCAAAGTTCTTAAAGCATTCAATTCAGTTTGCTGTCCTAGCATAACTTGTGTTAATGATAAAAATATATAAATCACACATTTACACCATATACTGTCTTTCAAAGCACACACTCTGAGCTCTTTAGCACTCACCAAATGTCAATGCCTACAATAATCAAAGATCATTTTAAAGCTTCCACCTGCCAAACTAGAATAGAGAAATACGTTTCAAACCCCTTCGAATTAATAAAAGAAAATCTTGAATGCGCTACTCTGGACTCAGCCTCACATCTTAAGTTTCAGGAGCAATCTGATAAAGGCAAAGTTGAACAGGCAGGTTAATCTCAAAGACAAGAAGCGTGCCATTTCTCCAAAGATCTCCATTTGAAAACCTTGTACTAAAGAGCTCTTTCCTAAGAAAATCAAAACATGCAGATAAAAAATTACAAATTAAAAAGTACTATAAATTTCTAAGAATAATGTTTTAAAACAGATGTCAGTTAATATAAGAAAGTTATACTTAAAACATATGGCTTAAACTTACATCTGCAGAATTAAAGACATCAGGCAATAAAAAGTTGAGTAAGGCCCACAGTTCATGCAGGTTATTCTGCAAAGGGTTCCAGTTAAGAGCAAGCGGTTAGTTGACTTGAACTCACGAACAATCTCTGAAAGCTAGAAAACAATACTCATATGAGGATTATTTACTTATTAGAATGTTCAATATTCAGTTATTCTGTAATTTATCCAACCAGTACATTTTTTACTACAATATAACCTGAAATTTTCCTATGGAAAAATACCCTAGATCAGGTGACAATGCCGCAGTGAGGCAAAACTGAACAAAATATTCTAAGTATTTTCTATACTTAAAAGAATGCAGGCCTGGCAAAGCGGCTCAAGCCTGTGATCCCAGCACTTTGAGAGGCCGAAGCAGGTGGATCACCTGAGGCCAGGAGTTCCAGACCGGCCAGAAGTTCGAGACCGGCCAGGCCAATATGGCGAAACCCCGTCTCTACTAAAAATACAAACAAATTAGCTGGGCGTGTTGGTGCACGCCTGTAATTCTAGCTACTCAGAAGGCTGAGGCAGGAGAATTGCTTGAACCCAGGAGGCAGAGGTTGCAGTGAGTCAAGATCGCACCACTGTACTCCAGCCTGGGCCACAGAGTAAGACTCTGTCTCAAAAAAAAAAAAAAGAGAATGCAGATCATATTTATACCTGAGACCCTCCCCACAACCTCAAAATTTTAGTTTCTCCATTTTGGGCTCACAGAAAAAAAGTCAGAACTTCTCCATGGAATCCAAGTAGCCATTTTACACAATAAAATCTCCATCTCCCCACCAAGCACATTCATCTACATGCCTAACCATGTTCTAACTTGTCCTGGTCACAATTTTTAAGCCCCAGAATTGAGCCGATTTTCCCAGTAACTTACATTCACTTTCTAAACATAAGACCACAAAAATTAAGACACAAAAAGCACAAAAGAATGGTAATCATACAAACAAAAATGCACATTTTTATAATGCTCTTAAATAAAATATTATTCTCTAACATGCGTCCTCTTATCAGATATTAGTTCCAATTTGAAATTAATATAATCCACCTGGTGGTTTTGCTCCAGTTCTGTCCCTGTTTCTCCCAAATTAGCCCAGTGATCCAAAGAGAGGTTCATCATAATTGAAGCTTTTCCTACTGTTGATGGAGTTGAATGGCAAGAAATATTGATATTTTTCAATGTTAACACCACACTCTAATTCACACAAGTCAGATAATCCCAGGAAATTATTTTCTCTCATCCATATAAATACATATAAGGTAGCCCCTCAATACAAAGTAAGTCAATACAAATGGTATTTGTACACCAAATATTCTCAAAAATATTAAAATACTATAGCATAACAGAGTCAGGCACAGGAAACATAGCAAAGGAATACTTAATTTTCTTTACATTAAAAACTATGCCTAATTTTAATGTGTCATGTAGTCAATAATTTAGATTCGCATTCAGATTCCATGAATAAAATCACAATGTTCCATCATTTTTTATTCTATATATAAAAAATGAACAAACAGACCTGGTAATTAAATGAAAACTTTAATAAAGATATTGAGAACTTACCTTAGATTTTTCATTCTTTATTCTGTGAGCTTCATCAATGACGAGGTATCGCCAATGAAACTTTTTGAATACAGATTTTTCTTTAATTACCATCTCATAAGAAGTAACACAAACATCCCACTCTCCTGGCATCATTTCATCACGAATAAAAGCAGCCTAATGTAAAATAAATACTTCACATTAGAATATATTTATATTAGAATACATTACAAGATGATCACAGAATTAAAGTATTAAGAAAATAATAAGAGTTATAAGAGACCCTGAGGATTTCTTTTTATCCATTTCAGAGATGGGAAAACTGAGGCCCAAAGATAGCTGTGTGGTCACTTATCTGGATGACCTGCTAATATATTCATTAACAGAAGAGAAACAAAGGCTTCCCTTACAAAAATACAGCATATTCAATGACCTCGAAAAGTTCACATGACTAGAAATCACAAAATTGCTAGGCTTGTCTTCACATCATGGGGCATCCAAAAGAACCTAGACAAAGTAACTCTTTCTGAACAACACGTTCTTGTCCAGATCCAAGGTTACCAACATAATATAGTTTCAACAAATAGAAAGAACTCTATTTGCACGAATGATTCCAACCTTTCGAGAACTCTTGTGTGTCCCTTCTTCGTTTTCTAGCTGGGCTGAGTCATACACTTTGTTAAAAGGTCATAGAACCTCATTAATGTTTTTGTGAAGTTCCAGATGTTACCATGAGGTTGCAAATGTGATATCATAATGGGACTTGCTCTGTCTAGTTCAGGAAGGTAAGGAAAACAGTGAGACTACTTCAAACTATTTTTAAGTCTTCATAGGCAGTGGCCAACATGGTAGGTAAGTTGACTGAGAGCATTTTAACTTGTATGAGCTGAATTCCAGATGTTATCAGTCAAAATAAAACCACAAAAGTTAACAGGAAGCAGCAAAATCTATATCAACAAGAGGCTGATTAATATTATAAATCTGGCCAGCATGGTGGCTCACGCCTGTAATCCCAGCACTTTGGCAGGCAGACAGATCACTTGAGGTCAGGAGTTTGAGACCAGCCTGGCCAACATGGTGAAACCCCGTCTCTACTAAAAAATATGAAAATTAGTCAGGCATGGTGGCTCACACCTGTAATCCCAGCTACTTAGGAGGCTGAGGCAGGAGAATTGCTTGAGCCCAGGAGGCAGGGAGGTTGCAGTGAACTGAGATGGCACGCCTGCATGACAGAGAGAGACTCTGTCTCAAAAAAAAAAAAAACAGCATTATAAATGGGAAGTTTCAGTGCATAAACAAAATTAACTGTTCCCTGCAAAGTCTTTATTTCGTAATTCACAACTATGCACTAAACATACTGCAGACTCATTCAACGATATTAACTCAGTGTCTACTATGTATAAGAGGATCACCTGGACTGAAGAGGACAGGGAAAAAGGGCCTTTTCAGAAATCTCAGTTGCACCCTGGGAAGTGATCACATTTATAAAGTTAATTAAGACATTAGGGAATTGGAGACAAAATAAAGAGAAGTAGGGTGCCAGACCCATTCAGTCGTGCTAACACCTTATCCTTATTTCGTGAAGCTTTCAGTTTAATGGTTTCACCTACAAGTTTCACAGAACAAATGCGTATTTGAATTTTAATCAGCTCTGCTATGAAT